AAAACGAATCTTAATAAGAAGTTCAAATGTTGCTCTCATGTTCAAGTGCCATGTACTGTTTTTCAGTTGACATCTACACCCATGGTTTGCAATACAGATACTGAGAGAGATTATCATGTTTGGTCCTTTATCTACTTTCAGCACACACCTCCCATCCTGAATGATTCCTCCAACCATCATTGTCTTAGTGATCCCTTCTCTATTCAGCTGCTTTCTCCCGCAGCTTGTGAGATAGGTTTCCAACTATTGGGCAATATTCCTGGTCCTTGTGTCCACTGTCCTTGGGTGTCAGTCTCATATTATGTTATTTTATATTCCACAAATGAGTTCAGTCCTTCTATGTCTGTCCCTCTCTTTCTGATTCATTTCACTTAGTGTGATACTGTCCATGTCCACCCACTTATAAGCAAATTTCATGACTTCATCTCTCCTAACAGCTGCTCGGTATTCAAATAGGTCTTTTTTTTTTAAAAAAAAAATAAAAACTATCTTACTCACTAAAAAAGATCTATACTTTTGTGAGTTGTAAATAACATTTTCTTAAAGATCACATTAATATAAAAAAGTCTGGGGCTGGAGCAATAGCACAGTGGGTAGGGCGTTTGCCTTGCATGCGGCCAACCCGGGTTCAATTCCCAGCATCCCATATGCTCCCCCAAGCACTGCCAGAAGTAATTCCTGAGTGCATGAGCCAGGAGTAAACTCTGTGCAATGCTGGGTGTGACGCCAAAAAAAAAAAAAAAAGAGTCAACTAATTATAAAAGAAAATTTGGACTACCATTCAAATTGTGACTTAAAGTTATCTATTTATTATTTATGAAATCTAATAAAAACATTTGTAGAATGGGTGTCAAGAAACCGGAAATGAAATTCCAAAGAAAATAGTGAATACTCCTAATAAGTTCCTAATAAATGTGGCTTAGTTCAACGAATCTTGGTATCTTTACAGGTTGTTAATTTCCCTAAATGCCCTGCTAGGATGTTGATTTTTAGAGACAGTATAGTTTTCCAATCTTCAAATATGGAATATCTTTCAAATTATTTTATCTTGATTAATTTTAAGTTTTCAACATACACTTTTCACACATTTTACTAGATTTAGATTTTGGCATTTATGGTTTCTGATGCATGCAGAATGGTACTGCATTTTAAGTTTTGATATGAAATTGCTCCTTGACAATAAATATAAATAGCTTTTGTATATTGACTTTATATTCTACTTTGATAAACTTATTAAGTGGCTGTAAATAGAATTCTTTGTAGAATTTTTTATATAGACACTTCTGTCACATCTAGGAATGATTTTTAAATTTCTTTTTCTTGTGATACTGTGGTGCTTGGTTCTTTGATAACTGCTGGGAAACTCTAAGCAATTTGTGTTTGTAATCATGATCACGATCATCCTGTTGTTCGTCGATTGTCTCGAGCAGGCACCGGTAATGTCTCCTTCGCTCTAGCCCTGAGTTTTTAAGAAGTGTCATATTCAAGGCTCTTTCAGGGTTAGGAGAATGAGACCCATCATTGTTACTGGTATTTGGCATATTGGGTACACCACGGGGAGTTTGCCAGACTCTGCCGTGCGGGCAGGTTACATTTGGTAGCCTGCCAGGTTGTCCAAAGTAAGAATGAGATAATAAGATGTTGTGCATGCCATGTTTGTAATATTGTTTCTCAAATTTTAAAATGTGAATTCTTGGAACATGCTACAAATTATCTGTATTTACAGACTACACAATCTGTTATTCAGCTCACCCACAAACATTTTTATTTCAACAAATAAATGTTTAATATCTTTAAAAGTCATTTAACAAATAAATAAATAAATAAATAAATAAAAGTCATTTAACTGTTGGTCAGATCTGCTTATTTATTTCAGATAGTCTCTTGTTTTGTGCTCATAATTACCTTAGTTCTTTAAATCTTTTCCCAGATAAACCTTCAATATTTTATTGCCAATAAAATGCCTGTATTGGGGCTGGAGCATTAGCACAGCGGGTAGGGGGTTTACCTTGCACGTGGCCGGCCCGGATTCGATTCCCAACATCCCATATGATCCCCTGAGCACCGCTAGGAGTGATTCCTGAGTAGATCCAGGAGTAACCCCTGAGCATCGCTGGGTGCAACCCAAAAAGAGAAAAAAAATGCCTGTATTCCTGAGGCGGGGGGGGGTCCTAAATATTTATTTTTTCTGAATGCTCACTCATGATGACTTTTTATTTTCTTTTGCTTTTTGGGTCACGCCTGGCAATGCACAGGGGTTACTCCTGGCTCTGCACTCAGGAGTTACTCCTGGTGATGCTCAGGGGACCATATGGGACACTGGGAATTGACCCCGGGTCGGCAGCGTGCAACACAAATGCCCTACCCGCTGTGCTATTTCTCCAGCCCCGATGACTTGTTTCCTTAACGCCTGGAAACTTTTGATATTGGACTCATATTCTCTTGATCTTAATCTAGGAACCTGGAGGACTTAATTAGAGCAAGTTTTCTTCGAAACAGATTAGTATTTTATCCCACTAGGAACCCTGGGGTAACACCAGTATGGAACTACTTTGGCTGCCAGTTAGCTTTGTAGCTTAGAGTTTAGCTTCCAGCAGAGACCTTAGATTCACTAAGTCTAATTTCAACAAAGTCTAATTTTCTTTTTTCCTCTTTCAGTTGTAGTTTAAGTAACATGGTTACAATTCAGCATCAACTTTCATAGTTTTAACGAACAAAGTTACTGCACCTTCATCACCATGCCTGGGACCCTCCACCCCAGCCTTGTGTCACTTCTTCCTAGTTCACCTTTTCCTCCCCCTTCCTCACTGCTTGAGAATATTATTTTTGTGATCAAAGGCCAAAAGTTTGTCCTTATTTGCTGATTCCCTTGTTTTGTTTTTCTATATGTAGCTATGTAGCTATGTTTTTTTTTCTCCCCATATTACAAAATTGTACTTAGCACTGCAGATGAATAAGATTATCCATTCTTTGTTCTCCCTCTGACCTGTTTTACTTAATATGATGTCTTCTAGTTCCTTGCAATTTGCAGAAAACGTTAAGATTTTTATCTTTACTTATAGCTATGTTTTGTTTTTTTCTTTCCTCCCCATATTACAAAATAGTACTTAGCACTGCAGTGAACATGTGTTAGGTTCATGGGATAGATTAGATACCAAGAAATGGAATTTTGCAGTCTGATGGAAACTAGTGTTATTTTCAGAAGTATCCGTGCTGTTTTCCACAGAGGCTGAACCAGGGATCACTCCAGCGCCCCAGTAGACACTTCTCAATGGCTTGCTTCCTGAATATCAAAAACAGACCTGCCAATGTGGGTTGCAAAGAGTGCAAACCTTGGGGCTGGAGCAACAGCACTGAGGCCTTTACCTTGCACGGGCCAACCGGGGTTCGATTCCCAGCATCCCATATGGTCCCCTAAGCACCAGCAGGAGTGACTCCTGAGTGCAGAGCCAGAAGTAACCCCTGTGCACCGCTGGGTGTGACCCAAAAAGCAAACAAACAAACAAACTGTCCAAACCTTAAGAAATTCCTGGGGTGGAGCCCTGCTGGTAGGCAGGTGCACGGCTCAGCACCCTCCCTGCCCCCTACCAGGTTCACCGCTTCCTCTGGCCGTTCACGCCAGGAGTCCTCCCCAAGCGCACCCGCCCGAGGCCGGGGGCGGAAGGTCGCGCGGGATGTGCTGGGTCTCGCGGGATGTTGCCCGGTTGCCTCGGGAACGGCGTCTCGGTCGCGGAAGATGGCGGGCCGCAGTTCTGGCCACCGGGTCCGTGGAGGCGCAGAGTGCAGATCAGCGAGCGGCTTCGGGGGGCTGGGGGTTGGGGGTGGTGGGGTGGGCGCCCGTTCTCTCGGACCTCGGGCTTGAAGGTCTGTCTCTTTCGCAGGGACGAAGCGTCCCGGCTCCGCAGCTCCCGGCACGCCCTCGGCGGGACTTCCTCGCCCGGGAGGAGGAGTATAAGTAAGGCGGCGCGGGGCGGGGTGGCTTGTGGGTGGGGGGCGGGGGTCCTTGCGGCGACGCGGAGCGGGGCGGCTGGCCCGAGGGCGCTGCGGTCGGGCTCGGGGCCGGGGGGCGGGGGACGGGAGGAGAGAGGGCCCGGCCCCCTCCTGCCCCGCCCCGGCCGCTGGGACTCGGCCGGAGCCTCGAGCGCCCCCCGGCGGCCGCCAGCCAAACCTGCAGGCCGCCCGGCGCCTGGCGCAGAGGGAGGAGGGGCCCTGCCGCCCGATTTCTCTGGAGAGAGTGCTCAGGCCAGCCAGGAGCCGCCCTTGGCAGGAGGGGAGTAGACGGGCAGGTTTTTTTTTTTTTTAATTAGTGAAACACCATGAGGTACAGTTATAGACTTATAAGTTTTTGTGCTTGGGTTTCAGTTATACAATGATCAAGTACCCATTCCTCCACCAGTGCCCATCCTCCACCACCACGGGTCCCAGCATCCCCTCCCCACCCTCCCCATCCCACCCTGCCGCTGTGGCAGGGTATTCACTTTCGTTCTCTCTCTTCTTTTGGGTCTTATGGTTTGCAAAAGAGGCATTGAGTGGCAACCATGTTCGGTCCTATAGTCTACTTTCAGCATGCTTCTCCCATCCTGGGAGGATCTTCCCAACACCCTTTATTTGGTGCTCCCTTCTCTATCTGAGCTGCCTTTTCCCCTAGCTCGTGTGGCTGGCCTCCAAGCCATGGAGCAATATTCCTGGTACTAATCTCGGCCACTCCTGGGTGTTAGTCTCCGATTTTGTTACTTTATGGTCCCCAGATGAATGCAGTCTTTCTGTGTCTATCCCGTTCTTTCTGACTTTTATTCAGAGGGTTTTGAAGGTATGGAGGGAAGGGAGCGAGAGCAAGAAGGGGAAGGAAGAGAGCAGAGGAGAGAGATGGTGAAGGGAGAACATGGACTTCTGCACGGGCGGAGAGAATCTTGCGTGGGCTCTTTGGCTTTATCTTTTCCCGTGGTCATGGTCTGGAATGTTCTGGAGTCTTCTCTGGGCTGAATTGCTGACGTTGACCGATGAAGGAGGGGTCCGAGGGTATTCGAGAAATTTCCTTCATGAGGAGGGAGTCCGATCTCTTCAGGGTCCACTGCCGAAGGTCTTATCTCGGGTCTCATTGGAATTATTTAGGAATTTAGGGAGGACAGTGCTACAGTACTATTCCCCCAAAATTTCATTGTGAATTCTGGTGGCTTACTTCCCTAGAAGTTTCATTGTCTTGGGGTCTTTCCTGTCTATCTGCCTGGCTGCCTCACTTGCACGGGACCACTTTGTCTGTTCTCGCAGCGATCCCAGGATCATAGGAATCCGGGCGATCTTAATTCAGCCTTCATTTGGTTTTACCATCTCCCCCTTCCTTAAACGTCGCGGTGATTTCTTGTGCACTCAGGCCCTCATCTCAGATTTGTTTCATCTCTGATTTCTTCTTTTTGCCTACCAGGCTCCCACCTCCTGCCAGTGTGACAGTCCGTCTGCCTCTTTGTCTTCACCCCCCTCTGTTTCTTTCCTGGTCCAACCTCAGTCTTATAACTTAGGGACCAGGGTAATCGCAGTGTTTCCCCTTTAAAACCGTGCGTTTCCCTGTCCTGTTACTCTGCATACCACATATTTGTCTTCTGACTTACTTCGCAGACTACGACATCGCCCAGTTCCATCCAAGTTGTAGCATGTTGCAGTACTTCATCCTCCCGTTGTATCTATACACACCACACTTTATCCACTCATCCATTCTTACGCATATAGGTTGATTTCCTAGCCTGGCTGTTGTGCTAAGTACTACACTGAATAGTGGTCTGTATATGTTCTTTTGATTTTTTTCTTTGTGTTTTGTTTTTGGTCCACAGACGTCTTACCTGCTGAACTGAACTCTCCAGCCCTGCATATCTTCTTCTGAATGTTTTTGTGTCTTGGTGGTAGACACCAGGAAGTGGAATTTCTGAATCATATGTTCTGAGAAATAGCCCTGTTGTTTCCCACAGGTTTTGAAACAGATAAACATTCCCTTTAGCTCCTTTTTAGCACACCCCCGGTGCACAGATTATTGCCTGTTTTATTTTATTTTTATTTGTTATGTACAATTCCTGCTGGTGTAAAACAACATCTTATTGTCTTGATTTGGATTTTCCTGATGGTAAATGCTGATGAGCAGTTCTTCGTGTGCCTATTGGCCATTTTCCTCTCTCCGGAGAATTGTTCATTTCCTCTCCCCATTTTTTGATAATATTTTTCCCTTACACATCTCTTTATCTGCTGTGTTGAGTGTAAATATTTATCTCCTGTTCAGCTGGGTATCTTAGTTTTAGCTAGTTCCAGTTATTTATATTTGTTTCTGTTGCCTTTGCCAATGGAAACATATTGAAAACACTTGTGAGGTTCAAATCTTGGATCATTTTGCCTATATTCTTCTCAGTGTGTTTTATGGATTCTGGTCTGATCGCAAGGTCTTTGATCCACTGCCTTTTGATGAGAGAGTTTAGTCTGCTGATATTGAGAGGTTATTGCTATAGAGGGCTGTGTTACCATTTATCTGTGGGGGGTTGTTATTTCTGTAATTAGCTAATCATAGGTGGCCTTTTAGTAATTAATTAATTGTAGGGTTGGTTTAGTCATAGCAGATGTCACCAGCTCTTGTTTCTTTTTGAATGTTTTTATCCCTCCCTCAAATCTAAATGACAGCTTGTCTGGTAGTGGACTTCAGGTTGATATATATATATATATATTTTTTTTTTTTCATTCAGTACTTGGAGCGATAGCACAGCGGTAGGGCGTTTGCCTTGCATGTGGCCTACCTGACCGACCCGGGATCGATTTCTCCGTCCTTCTCAGAGAGCACAGCAAGCTACCTCTCGCCCACATGGCAAAGCCTGGCAAGCTACCCGTGATGTATTCGATATGCCAAAGACAGTAACAATAAGTCTCACAATGGAGACATTACTGGTCCCTGCTCAAGCAAGTTGATGAACAATGGGGGGACAGTGCTGCATTGCTACTTTAACTATGTCTTTCCGTTCTTGTCTTGATTATATGGTTTCATATGGGAGATCTGTGTGATTCTTACCTTATTCGCCTTGTATTTGAGGTTTTCTTTTTTTGCTTTATTGTAGTCTCTCTCTCTGGGTCAATTGTTCTTTTTGAGCCTATTATGTTTGATAAACTTTTGGCCTCTTTAATCTGTGCAGAAACCTTCCAGAGACTGGGGAAATTTCAGTTATTATTTCTTCCTTCAGATCTTCCTCTCCTTTCTCGTTTTTTTCTCTCTTTTGATATTCTTATAATTCAGAGGTTATTCCTTTTGCTATTATCCATTACATACCTTTCCTTATTTGTCACTTTGTTATTGTTGATAATTTGTATATAAATATTTATGTAGGAGTACTGCTATTTATTCAGCTATTGATTAGCTGATTGAATTGGGCATGAACTACACCTTACTTTTTTTTTCATAATTTTATTTATTTATTTTTTTCTTATATTTATTTATTGAATCACTGGGAAAAGTTACAAAGCTTTCAGGTTTAAGTCTCAGTCATACAATGATCAAACACCTTTCCCTTCACCAGTACTCATTTTTCACCACCAAGAACCCCAATATACCCCCCACCCTTCCCAATGCTTGTGAGGCAGATGATTTTTACTTAACGATAATTTGTATTTTGTCTTCAAGTTTGCTGATAAGGCTGTCTGTATTCACAATTTTGTTACTGTGCCTTGCTGTTGTGGAATAATGCATCGGCTTTTTTCAAGTGTGCCTAGCTCAAACCCAAGTCAGTTATTTTTCTTATCATACAATAGAATTAAGTGTTTATGTTGGTTAGCTTAATTTAGTTATGTAAATGTATATTTGACACCTGGCTGTAGTATATGTTTAGGGATATAGATGGTCCTGTTTAAAGTCAGACATCTTCCACATCTATTTTGGCAGATGTTCTGTGATGAAGGTATTCAGTTGTTAACCTCATCAGGTACATATATATATGTTATATATATGTATGTATATTGTGTATGTATATATTTATATACATATATGAAATACCTGAGGGCTAGAAAAGAACACAGTAGCTCTCTGGCACTGCTAAGGATTGTAATATCTCTTCATTAGGCAGAATGTGTATAGTTATTCTTATCAACAGGATTCTGAGCTCAGTATTTTACCATATGTTGTCTTGGTATTAAGCCATTGTTTATTCATTCATCAAAATACATCACTTCACATCTAATCCAAAATTTTCTACAATCAGTTCATGTCAAAATAGTTGGAGGAAATAATGATTGTGAAGCTAAGCTAACAATATGCTGATCACTTAAATCAGCAGGTTTTCCAAGCTTCATGCCTATATTACAAAACCAGAGAGTTAAATAATAAATAATGTGTGACATCTGTTTCAATTAAACTTGATGATTGGTGGGGCAAGCCTGCTCTGTCAGCTGTCTACTTGTAAATGCCTATTACATTGTATTTATACATAAAGAACTGATATCTTTATGCTAATGAAGCTTCCCTTTCACTAAATAGTCCATGTCCATTTACACAGTTGGTTTTCTTGTTTTTGGTATGCTTTATCCAAAGTTTTGCATGTATAACTTGTTTCAAGGTACCTTAAGTTTTTGTTGCTCTAATGATTTTTGCCTATATTTTCTAGTTAGGTGTTAAGAATACTGGCTTTTGTATGTTAATCCTACAGCCACATATATACAGACATATGTCACTGAACTCTTATTCTTACAGTCTGTTGGGTCTTGAATAGACAGTAATATCATATGTATATTTCGAGAGGTTTATCCCTTTAACAACGTCTCACACACTGATTTTTCTTTATTTTACTTGATCTGGTTAGAACTTTCATTGCACCATGGGGTGGAAAGAGTGATTATGGTGAGTATTCTTATCTTGATTATGATTCAGAAAGTTCATTTTTAATAATTTTATTGCATTTGAGATTTGTTACAGAGTTGGTAGATTCCCTTTATTAGATTTAAGGATGTTGTTTTCCTTAATTCATATTTTTGAAAGAGTGTTGACTCTAATCAAAACTTCTTGAATCATAGATAAAAAATTTTTTTTGCAATTTTTATTTAATATTTCAACATATATAAAACTACAGGGCCAGAGGGATACTATAGAAGGTTATATGCACTTCCCTTGCATGTAACCAACCTACCTGAGATTTGATTCCTGACACCACGTATGGTACCCTGAACCAGGGCAGCACTGATTTCTGTGCACAGCCAGTTGTAATCTAGATACCACCCTCCAATACTGATAAAAATAAGATACACAGTTTTCCTTTAAAGACTACTGAACTTTATTGCTTTAATTTTATGTAGGTTGTTTGCATTTATAAGCAAAAGTAAGATGGACTTGACCAACTTTTTCTAGCTATTTTCTGTTCTCATTTTCATATCAGCATTATTCGAGGCACATGAAATAACCAAACAATTTTCCCTGTTTGTTTTATTTTGTTCGTGTAAGTATTTTATAATCAGAGATCACCTGCCCTTTTATTAAAACTGGAGCTGGAGCGATAGTACAGCGGTAGGGCATTTTCTTTGTGTGCAGCCAGCCCGGCTCAGCTGGGTTTGATTCCTCTGCCCTCTGGAGAGCCTGGCAAGCTACCGAGAGTATTGCGCCTGCATGGCAAAGCCTGGCAAGCTACCTGTGACGTATTCAATATGCCAAACTCAGTAACAACAAGTCTCAAAAATAGAGACGTCACTGGTGCCCACTCGAGAAAATCGATGAACAACTGGAAGGCAGTGTTTGTTTGTTTGTTTTGTGAAACTAATCATGATGTGGTTTTTTTAGTGAAGGGAAGTGTTTTGTTTATAGTTTTAAAAAAGTGATCTCTGGACTGGAGAAATAGTAGAGTTAGTAAGGTGCTTGCCTTGCATGTGGCGTACACTTGTTCCATCTCTAACATATGAACCCCCTGAAGCCCCATAGTGGTGAACCTTGAGCACAGAGTAAGGAGTAAGCCCTGAGCACCACTGGTTGTGGCCCCCAAACAACAACAAAAAAACCCAAAAAATAAAGTCCAAAATATTAATGCTTCCAGAATACACTATTGTTACTTAATAGTTTTTTTTTTTTTAGTAAAAACATAGAACATCTATAGAACATCTTTTGGTGAGGGACACTTAATTGTTTATTTTGTCTTTCTATTGGTCTTTCTGTGAGACTTACATATTTTATTGGCCTTTTCAGAGATCTGCATTTGGTTTTAAACATCTGTGTTCTAAACTCTTCATTAATCTTTGTTATTCTTCTCCCATAATTGTGGTATAGTTCTTTTATTTAAGTTTCTTTTAAATTGTTTTCACTTTCTTTCTAATAACTACATTTAATTTTTATAACTTTTTCTCCAGTTATAGCTTATATTTTGGACCTGTTTTGATATTTGCATTTTGCCTTGGTTTTATTTTTTTAATTTTTTTTTTTCATTTTGTATACTTTTATTTATTGAATCACCATGAGAGCAGTTACAAAGCTTTCGGGTTTATGTCTCGGTCATACAATGAAACACACATACCTTCACCAGTGCCATTCTCCACCACCAAAACCCCCAGTATATCACCATCCCACGCCCTCCCCCTACCTGTGGGGCAGATGATTTCCACATTACTCTCTCTCTCTACTTAGATTACATTCAATATTTTGACACCAGACCCACCATTATTATTTGGGATTTTACCTCAACACTCAGATCTGCTGAAAAGGCAACTGTAGACAATTTGTTTTCTATTGCTGGTTATGAGTAACATATGTCATGCGGCTGCAGTAGTGGCCACGCGATTTTGAAATTCTGAAATTTTAACAATTAAATCTGGAGGGATTTCTGCCAAAACCTGCTGGGTTCCAAGATTTGTTCCTGAGTCTCTGGGATCATGGTTGTTATGCAGGTTGATCAGGAGCCACAGAGGCCATTCGTGGGCGGTAACTCAGGGTCTCTTTGGGTGGGAAGGAAAGGGCCGGCTCCACCCCCATTCCGTGAGACCCCACGTGTCTTGTCACTGTGGGCCCAAACCTGACTGTTCAGTGGCATCTGGAGGATGGCAGCCACCAGGCTGCCAGGGGAAACAGGCCAAGGCACGAAACCTATTCCCACTTGGGGTGGTCCAGCGCCAGTAACCTACTGCAGGGACCAAATGCATTTCTGCCAAAAGCCACTGGGTTCTGAAATTTAATTCTGAGACTCTGAGATCATGGCCATTAAGCAGTTTGATCAGGAGCCAGTGAGGCCGTTCGTTGGCAGCGACTCGGGATCTCCCTGGGGTGGGGAGGAAAGGGCCGACTACACCCCCATCCTGTGAGGCTCTGCGTGTCTTGTCACTGTGGGCCCAAACCTGACTGTTCAATGGCCTCTGGAAGATGGTGGCCACGGAGCCACTTAAGGGGAGAAGGTGGAGGGACAGCACCCTTTCCCCCCGAGGTGGCCCTGCAACAGTAACCTACTGTGTGGTCCGGACGCATATCTGCCAAAAGCCGCTGGGTTTCGAGATATGTTTCCTAGTCTCTGGGATCATGGCCGTTAAGCAGCTTGATGAGTAGCCAGAGAGGCTGTTCGTGGGCAGCGACTCGGGGTCTTGTTGGGGTGGGGAGGAAAGGGCCGGCTCCAACCCCACCCCATGTGACCCTACATGTCTCATCACTGTGGGCCCAAACCTGACTGTCCACTGTCCTCTGGAGGATGACGACCACCGGGCTGCCAGGGGGAACAGACCATGCCTTGGTTTTAAATATTTAAATTTTCAGTGATTATTTAGGAGCTTTATTCTCAAAAAATTACAAATTGAGCTCCCATTTGATCCTGCTCCCATTTGGGTCAAGTGGTCAAAAACCACTCCTAGGAATATATCCTGGAAAGGCAAAAAAGTACAGTCAAAATGACATCTGCACTTCAATGTTCATTGCTGCACTGTTCACAATAGCCAAAATTTGGAAAAAACCTGAGTGCCTGAGAATAGATGACTGGTTAAAGAAACTTGGTACATCTACACAATGGGATACTATGCAGCTGTTAGAAAAGATGAAGTCATGAAATTTACATACAAGTGGTTCTACTTGGAAAGTATCATACTAAGTGAAATGAGCCAGAAAGAGAGGGACAGACATAGAAAGACTGCACTCATCTGGGGAATATAAAGTAACAGAATGGGAGTTGAACACCCAAGAATAGTTGAGATAAGTACCAGGAGGTCTGCTCCAGGGCTTGGAAGCCAGCAAAAGGCAGCTCAAATAGAGAAGGGAACACCAACTAAAGGATGTTTAGAGATGCGTGCTCAAAGTAGACTATAGATGGCTACTCAATACCTCTATTGCAAACTGCAACACCCTAAAGGAAAGAGAGAGCAAAAGGGAATGCCTTGCCACAGAGGCAGGGTGGGGTGGGGTAGATGGGGGGGTTAGGAGGGCTGCTGGGATCATTGTTGGTGGAGAACGGGCACTCATGGAGGAATGGGTACTCAATCATTGTATAATTAAAACCCAAGCATGAAAATTTGCAAGTCTACAACCGTACCTCATGATGTTTCACTAATAAATAAATAAATACATAAATAAAAGGGCTTCACTAATCTTTTTTAAATGTCTTCTTTTGCCTAAGGGTTTTAACTTTTTTTTCCTCTAGAGAAAAATGCTTATTAAAATTGGTCTTAAGTAGTTTTGTCTCCAGATAATCATAGTACAGTTTTTGTTAACATCTGCTGATGTTTTTTCCTCTTGGCTAGTTGTTTATGCAGTTATCTTTGTGACATCATCTTTATCTGGGTTTGCTTTTTGAAAGAGTTTCATGTGTTCTATTTCTTTTTGGGGGTAGAGGGCACATCTAGGATGCTTACCAATTTCTCCTGGCTCTGCAATTAGGAGTTACTCTTGGGCTGTGCTTGGGGGGCCGTAAGGGACACTGAGGATTGAAGCAGAGTTGGCTGTGGAAAGCAAGTGCCCTAACCTCTGTCTCTGTTGCTGCAGCCTCAAGAATTGCATGTGTTTTAGATGAGTAAAGTCACTTTACTACATTATCTTAGTTTCTTTGTTTCTCAGTCAATTCTGTGTTAAACATTTGGTACAGGGTCCCCATATCATCTGCTATAACTTGTGTGCTCTTGTGTACTCTAGTACAGAAAAATCTTTCCACCCAGGGTTCCTGTTTCACTTCTGTTTACTCAAGGTTGTATGGGGGCTGTGTTGCTATAGTCTGTGTTTTACAGGTGTTGTACTTCACGGCTTCCACACAGGCTCTAGTTTCTAACTATAGGAAGTTCTGACTATTCTTCTTGTTTGAGTGTCGGGGTATTTCCTTGCTGACCTTTAAGCTTAGCTATATTTCCTTCATTACATTATAATCCAGCTTTTTTATGAGTTTGGAGCAAAAGAATAACTACTGAGTCATCTAGGTCTACAACAGTGATCAGTATTTTTTTGATTAAGTGTTAACATTCCTGTTAGAGAAGAGTGGAAGAAACACATGTGATAGCAGTTCAAATAGAACTAATATATTAGCTTTGTTTCTTTTGGGTAACTCATTATAGGATATGAAATATCTTCAAATATCAGACTTTGTTTTGGAGGGACCACCCCAGTGGGACTAGGGGGATACCAACGGCCATCCTAGCAATGGCTGATCCTAGAACCATGGTGGTTAAGGTTCAGCCTGCAGTGCCTCTGGGAGCCACCAGGACCACCCAGCAGGGCGTGTGGAGACCCACACACCCTGTATGTGGGGTACGGGGGTAGAACTTGGAGCCTTGAGTTGCAAGCAGTGCTGTAGTCTTTGAGATATTTTCCCATCCCCCAAATACCAGACCTTTAAAAAGGGATATGATTTTTTCCCTGAAAGTGTAATTTTTTTTTGTAGATTATATTACTTTAGATCATAGCTAAGAAAAACAAAACAAATGCCCCATGTCCATTCTTAAAACATTGTTCACGATAATTTCCTTCAGATAATTTTGAAAGAAACTTGAAGTAGCACTGTATCCTATAAATAAAATAATCGATATATTTCTGAGGATGTTTATTACATTATTATCCTTTAAAAGTGGAAAAGGTACTGAACAGTAGACAATTGAGTTCTTATGTTGATCACAACTTATTAGAAGAGTATTTTTAGCCACTTATGACATTAATTATAAAGATTTTATAGAGATAGACCTATTCTTTTTGTGTTATTATGGTCCAGTCCAGTACAGAATTTTGTAAACAAAATTTTGTAAAACATTTTTTAAACAACAGATGAAAGATAAAAAGGAATCTTGAAAATAAAAGTGGTTGAATGATGGTGGTAGTACCATGAATAATTTCCCCTTTAAAACAGTTTCCTTCAATGACATTGACATTCTTGAAATTTAAGTGGGCCTAGACAATACTTCTTCCTAGATTCCAAACACATTTGAAAAAAATTCAGATAGATTGGCTTGTGGAGGTAATGATTACCTTTATTTTTTGATGAAACTGATATTAAAGTGTGCTTACTTAATCTTAGATGTTCTGATCCCAGCTATACCTCAACCAAAACCAAATCTTTCTTTACGGTGTTCTCCTTCCTATCTCCAGTTTGCATTAATTTCAAGAAGATGGAGAGAGGAACTAAGTTGAAACAACCCAATTTATTCTCCCAAAATAAATCATTACACAATAGAGATGCAGAATTTAGATTGAGGTTTTGACAGAAAGGAAGAGTAACTGTACAGATTGGCAGAAACTATTCTAATGGTTCATTTAGTTCATTTTAGAATTAAAATGTCATGCGTATATTTTGGCAGGTTTTGATTTGCTCATTTGATGAAAAGTTGTGACTGAAATTTAACTTTTGCTAGACTTTAGTATAATTTTTAAATCACTTTATGCTTTTAGGCGTTTAAATGCAGCATTGGAGGCAAAAACAGCTGATTTGGTTCGACAAGCTGAAGAAGTAATTGTAAGTTATTGAACAATTATTATTGCTAATTTGATATAGAGCATAAATACCAAAATTTCCCAAAGCTTAAGTTTTGCACAAATTTTGCACAAAAGTTTAATGATTTAATCCTAATTAAACATGAATCTATGTGTGCATCTGTGTATATGTTTTTGGTAAGAATGCTTTTTCTAAGAGCCAATTGAAAAACTGTTTTAGATACTTTGGTCATATGGTTATTCAGAAAACTAGTATTTAATAATGTTCAATATTACTGCTACAGTATAAAATTAATGTTTAAGAATAGTTATATAATACTGGTAATTCATCAAAAGATAGCAGTTAAATTATTTCTGGACAAAAGTTAAATAATACAACCATCACTAATACTTTGATAGTAATTTATTTCTTTTGTATTCTATGTTTGGACCTCCTCAGTGGTGCTGAAGAGCTACTCCCAGTCCAGGACTTAGTTGTTGCTCCTGGAGCATGTGCTGGTGATCTCACTGGGGCCTCCAGTAATTCGTTTCTTAAACTCTGCAGTGTGATATAATACTTTCTTAGGACTAGATCATAATCTGTTTTTTTTTTAATTAGGAAGCATATTTTTGCTCCAGTGTGAGTATTAAATTGAATGGTTAAGTATCCTTTATTGGGGCCAGAGCTATAGTACAGTGGGTAGGGCATTTACCTTTTACACAGCCGACCCGGGTTCGATTTCCGGCATCCAGTATGGTCCCCCACATGCAATGCCAGGAGTAATTCTTGAGTGCAGAGCCAGGAGTAACCCCTAAGAATCGCCAGGTGTGAGTCCAAAAGCTAATTAAAAAATCTTTTCGTAATCAGAAGCCTTCCCATTATTAAAAGTGATTTGTTATAATCAGGGCCATTGCAGGTATAAAGTAGCTGCTTTCCATAATTTTTCATTACTTTAAAATTTTTTTTTCAAATATAAGCTTACTACCCTCATCTGATGAAATGTGGAGGTGATGGAGGCAGGCAAAAACTGGAAAATTTAAAATTTAGTGCCTTACACGAAACCATCATTTTTTTAGTTTAGGAATATTAAATATTGAATGGGATATTTTAAAAAATAAATAAATCTTGAATAAATAGCATTGAAACTATGCTTAATTTGAGACATTTTCCTAACTGTTAAATGGGCTTATGTTTTCATTTCTTCCAAGACTGATTTTCTTTGCATGTTAATACAAGTGAAAGAATCTCATGTGGGAAGCATAAAGACATGGACACACTTGTATTTTACCTTTGAATTAACTTTTTAAACCTAGAACAAATAAAAGTTTGAAGTGTATTGTTGTAGGCTGTATTTTCATATAGTAACATTGAGTCCTATGTCTTTAATTTGTAGAAATTCAGGAAATTGTGGAAGCTCTCAAGTGACTAGTGATCAGAAAGGCACTTGAATATGACCTAGTTTTGTTCTTTCCTCTCTTTTATGATTTTGTCCTGTAAGTCTTATATGAATATGTCCTGGTTTGTGCTTTTCTCTCTTATATGAAATTCAGGAAATTGTGGAAAACTCTGAAATGACTAATGATCAGAAAGGCATTTGAATATGGTTGAGTTTTGTGTTTTCCTCTCTTTTATAACTTGCGTTTATTCATTTAACTAGAGAGATCAACAAGAGGTTCGATCTAGACCTCTTTCAACAGAAGTTAAATCCTATGATGAGGAAGATGATTACAGTTTAAGGTAAGTCGCTTTAAACACTATACAGTGCTAAATTAATGCTATATTCTCTAAATAGATTCCAAGAGCTAAAAAAAAAAAACAAGACAACTAAGATTCACCCCAGTGTTTTGTTCTAAGAGAGTCTTGTAGTTCTCAGTCATGCAATCATCAAACACATTTCCCTTCACCAGTACTTATTTTTCACCACCAAGAACCCCAATATACCCCCCTTCCAACCCTCCCAATGCCTGTGAGGCAGATGAATTCTAGTTAACACTCTATCTACTTTGATTAGATTCATGTTTCGACAAAAGATGCACCATTATTAGAGTTTACACCCCAAAATCAGACCTGCTAAGAAGGCATTTTGAAATAATTTATTTTCTACAGCTGGTTACAGAACCAAATGATGTCGTGTGCCGCTATCACAGCCACGCAATTTTGGATTTCTGATATTTTACTTATTAAGCCTGGAAGTATTTCTGCTGAGAGTCAGATAATTATGAGATTGGTTTCTGTGGCTCTGGAGCCATGGCCGTGCCGGAAAGCCGCTTGTGGGGGGCAACTCATGACCTCAGTAGGGTGTGAAGGATGAGCTGGGAACGCCCCCCTTCCCATGAGGTTTCAGTTGCCCCGTCACGACTGGCTCATACCTGGCTTTCCAAAAAGCTCCGAGGCGGCCGCCATATTGCTGTCCAGAGAGAAAATCACCATTATTTGTTGAAAAGACTTTTATCCCATTAAATGGTCTTGGCACCCTCCACACGAATCAGCTGCCCAGAAAGCCATATGATTTTGTTTTTCAATTCTCAATTCTGTTCTATTGATCTAAATATCTTCTTTGTTAGTGCCATTTCTCTTGATTATCTTTCCTTTGTAGAGCTGGCTGCTTCTAGATCTCAAAAACTGTGAGATGGAATTGAGAAAAATCTTTGATGTACAAATGCCTTGAGGTACACAGTTCAGACTTAAGGCATGGTCCTCACAACTACTGATAAAACTTTTCCGTTGACTGTGGTTATTAAGGCAACAGTCATTAAATGGTACATTAAGTGACACATAGGAAAACTTCCCGGCTGGATCAAAAGGCTCAGAGCAAAGTTCTAGCAAAAGATATAGTCTCGCTACAGAAAGTGCACAACCTCAGAGTATCACTTTTTTTGGATATTTATTTATTTATTTATTTAAATGGAATCACCATGAGATACAGTTAGAAAGCTTTCATGATCAGGTTTCAGTCATATAGTGTTCCAACATCCATCCCTCCACCAGTGTATTTCCCACCATCAATATCCCCAATATCCCTCCTGCCACCCCCTGACCCCCCCCTCAGCTGGCCTCTATGGCAGGCGCTTTTCTTCTTTGTCTGTCTGTCTGTCTGTCTGTCTGTCTCTCTCTCTCTGTGTCTGTCTCTGTCTCTCTCTCCTTTTGGGCATTATGGAGTAACATGTTTTTAGATTGAAAGACTGACACGAGAAGGGAGGGAGTGAGGTGTTCGGATAAATTGGAAAAAGAAATACAGTCTTGGGGCTGGAGTGATAGCACAGCGGGTAGGGCATTTGCCTTGCACGTGGCCGACCTGGGTTCAATTCCCAGCATCTCATATAGTTCCCCAAGCACCATCAGAAGTACTTCCTGAGTGCATGAGCCAGGAGTAACCTCTGTGCATCACTGGGTGTGACCCAAAAAACAAAAAACAAAAAAAAAAAAAAAGAAAAGAAAAAAGTACAGGCTTGAAAAATAACTGTGACAGGACATAGAACTGATTGCAGCCTAGTGATGTGAATATTAATATATGCAAAAATCTGTATGTCAGTTTTATCCTTTAATTCCTAATTACTAAAAATTGGGGATAGCCCAAATATCTGTTAACAGGAGATGGGTTCAACAGGATATGGCAGTATCCATGTAATGGAATGCTACTTGGCAGTCCAAAGCAGTGAGCTACTGATAAAGAAACAGTATAGCTGCTGAGAATAAGTCAGACTTTACAATGTATGGTTTCATTTATTTTACATACTGAACAAGCAAAACCATACAGAAAAATCAGATTAGTGGTTGTCTGGGACTATTTTACAGAGGCATCAAAAAACTTTTGGGGATGATGGAAATATTGTCTGTCATGGTGACTATATGGCGCATAAGTTTGTAAAAATTTACAGACCAAAAAATTTTCAATTGTATTTAAATTATATATATATATATATATATATATATATATATATATATATATGGGACTGGAGTGATAGCACAGCAGAAGGGCGTTTGCCTTGCACGCGGCCAGCCAGGCCGGCCCGAGTTTGATTCCTCTATCCCTCTCGGAGAGCCCGGCAAGCTACCCAGGGTATCTCGCCCGCCCGGCAAAGTCTGGCAAGCTACCTATGACGTATTCGATATGCCAAACACAGTAACAACAAGTCTCACAGTGATGGAGACGTTACTGAGCCCTCTAGAGAAAATCGATGAACAACACGAGGACAGTGCTACAGTGCTACAGTGCAATACAATTTATAATTTAAATTGTATAATTTAATTATATATAATTAAACTCCAAATAAATAAGTTTGGATGGCATTAGTACATAAGTGCAGCTGCTGGTGGAATGATGATATGTACTAAATTAGATTCTGACTTCAAAGTCTTTACACATGCCTGATATGTAGTTTTTCAGTTTTTATTTTAAAATTAAAATTTTTTCATAAGACGTTTCCACCATCATTTAATATATATGGATATGTGTACATATAACATGAAGCTACTAATCTATTTTGTATACTTCATGCTCTGATATTTTAGAGAAAATTAAGTCAACTTAAATTTCAAAATTTTGTATTACCAATAAGATCAGACTTGACTTTTATCTGGTAAATTAAAAGATTCACATGAGAGTAATAATAGCTAATCCCTGGTTTTTGTTGAAACAAGTGAGAGACAGATTTCACAAGCATAAAAATAAATCTGTTGATTTTCTTTTACTTAACTTTCCTTAAGTGGTGATGACATTTCTTTTTACCTACGTCAGGTGATTTTTTTTTTGTATTTTTTTTTTAACACTGCTCTTGGAATAAATGTCTCACCTTGTGAAACATCGTCCTTGTTTAGGTGGGGATTTCTGAAGTTAAGAATTAATTCTGTAAGAGAAAATCCATTTCAATTTAGACCAGTGATGATTCACTACCAGACTGAACAACATACGTGATACTGTTTGGAAACTAACTTTTGGTATTACTATCATATTGCTTGGTAGAATAATCCTGTTGTTGAAAACCTGTATACTACTTGACTCCTATTGTTCAATCTGCTAGTAGTCAGGTTTACAAGGCAAAACATTTAAATCATATTACACACAATCTTTTCATGGTGAGGTTTAACAAAATTCATCAGAATACTGTGAAGTTTTTTTTTTGTTTCATGAATAAGAAACGAGGAAAAGAATTCACTCTGCTGTATCTGAGGAAAGGGATCTGCTTTGTTTTGGCGCCCTGATTCACAGTGCAGTCAATGGCAGGGTTTCATGAGTACAGGGTTCCAACACCACACTGCCCACCGGGATCTGTTTCCCTCCACCACTGTCCCATTGTCCAGTCCCTGATACCCCTTGCCATGGTAACTTCTGTTCTATAGACTAATTCTCAGGTTCTCTTGCCTTTAAAGATTCTATATTACTTTGCTACATTTATTATATCCCACGTATATGAAAGAAATCATTTTTTCTTTTTTTTTTAGAATTTTTTTTTATTGAATCACCGTGAAATACAGTTACAAAGCTTTCATGTTTGAGTTTCAGCCATACAATGATCGAACACCCATCTCTCCACCAGTGAACATTTTCCACTACCAATTTCCCCAGTATCATCCTCCCCTCTACCTCCCGCCGCCTGCCATTCTAATCCTCCCCCCTGCCTCTATAGCAGACAATTTCCTCCAAATTAAGAGATCGTTTTCTATCTGTCACTCTTCTTTTGACTAACTTCACTCAGCCTTATTTTTTTTTAAACGTAGGAGTACTGCTATTTATTCAGCCAGTGATTAAGCTGATTGAATTGGGCATGAACTCCACAACTTCACGCAGCTTGATACTTTCCAGTTCCATCCATGTAGTAGCAAATTGCAAGCTTTCATCTTTTCCGTTATGGTTTTGTTTGTTTGTTTGTTTGTTTTTACACCACATCCATATGTGCTCAGGACTTATTCATTGCTTTGTGGTCAGAGATTACTCGTGGTGTTGCTGGGGGTATCATGGGCAGGACTGGGATCTAACCCAGGTTGACTGCATGCAAGGCATGCAAGGTAATGTTCTATCTCTTTGCCCCTTTTTCTTTTCTTATGACTGAATAATATTCCGTTGTGTATGTATACCATAGTTTATTTATCCAGTTATCTGTTCTTGGACATTTGTTTTTTTCCTCTCCAGGTTTTGGCTATTGTGAATAGTGCTGCCCATCTGTCCCATTTTTTTCCTCCAAGGCTAGTGTTTTCTTATTGAGTTTTTGCCTAATTGATTTATCCAGTGGATATGGCAGAGTGTTAAAGTTGCTCTCATCTTCTTTTAGGTCTTTTAGTAGTTATAAATATTTTGATGGTCCATCATTAGGTTATGTAGTTAGGAGTATGTTTTCTTGATTATATTGATCCCTTGATCATTAAGAAATGGCTATTCCTGTCCTTTATAATCTTCTAAAATTTGAAGTATTATGTTGTCTTTTGTAAATATGGCCACTACAGTCTTTGAAAGGGAATTGTTTCCTTGAACGTTTGTTCCTAGCTTCCTGCTTACCCTGACTAGTCAAATGTGTCTCTTGTAAGCCACAGAAAATTGATTGGTGAATTCAGGCTGTTGACATTGAGTGACATTATTGACATGAAGGAATTTGTTGCCATAATTTTGTACATTTATGCGTGGTTATGAAATTTTTCTTGTCTTTTAAAAGTGTTCCTTTAACTCTTCTTGTAAAACTCATTTCAGGTCTATGAATTTCCTAAACTGTTAGTTGTCCACTTGACTTTGTATCATTTCTTCAACTCTGAGTCACAATCTAACTAGATAGATCATTTTTGGCAAGGAGGATTTTTAAAAATGTTTTCCCGCTATGTACCATGTTTCTTTTCTTTCTATAAAGTTTCATTTGATGGATTTCTGGGAATTGAAGGGATGTCCTTTGTATGAAAGTTCCTTCTTTGATCTTGCTGCTTGTAATATCCCTATCTTTGACTTTTGTCATTCTGATTAAAATGTGTCTTAGATTTTTTAAATTTTGGGTCTGTTTTCACTGGAAGTCTTTGGCCTCTTGAATCTAGCTGCATGCACTCCCCAGTTCTCAGAAATTCTTTTCTGTTATTTATTTGATTAGTGATTCTTTATTGAATTCACCTTCTTGTTCCTTAGGGATTTCAGTGATTCTTATATTGTTTCTCTTGAACTATCTTGTAGTTCTCTGTGGTGTGCTGTTCATTTCTTTTCAGACTTTGTCCTCATATTTTTTTTTTCCTTGAGGTTTCCTGCATCTCATCTTGGAGCTCACCAGTTTTTTTTTTTTCATCTGCTTTTACTTTGCTCCTGAGGCCTTCCATTGAGTTTTTTGTTTCCCTTTTCACAACAACCATAGTCCTTAGTTCTCTCACTGTCACTGTCACTGTCCTCCCGTTGTTCATCGATTTGCTCGAGCGGGCCCAGTAACATCTCCATTGTGACACTTGTTACTGTGTTTTGGGATATCGAATATGTCACGGGTAGCTTGCCAGGCTTTGCCGTGCAAACGAAATACTCTTGGTAGCTTGCTGGGCTCTCCGAGAGGGGCGGAGGAATCGAACCTGGGTTGGCCGGGTCGGCCTCATGCAAGGCAAATGCCCTACCCGCTGTGCATTACTGCTTTTAAAAAAAAAATTTTTTTTTTTAATTAAGCAATTTATTTTTGTTTTTTGGGCCCACCTGGAAATGCTCAGGACTTACTCCTGGCTCTGTCCTCAGGAATCAATCCTGGAAGTGCTCAGGAGACTATATGGGGTGCCAGGGATTGAACCTACACTGTATGCATGCAAGGCATTTGCCCTACCTACTGTACTATGACTCCATCTCTCTCACTTCTGATTGTAGTTTTCTCATTTCTGCTCTCATATTTTCTTGTGATTTAATGACTACCACAGTTTTTTGAACTCATTAAACACCATTATCTTGGTGTCTCTACACTAGGTGAGAGGTTAGAGAGATGATCGGTACTGGGCCACCAGGACTATTATATTCACTCATTAAGCATGGTCGTTTTCTATAAAGTTTCTATGAAGAATTGATATGTCAGGTGCAATGCTAAGAACTAGAAATAGAGGCATAAACAGGCAGACATAATTCCTAGCTTCATAGAAATTTACTTACCAGGTATAAAAATGTATTAGGAAATACATCATTTCATGAACTTATAATGAAAAACTATTCAATGCATTTTGTATTCTGTGTATATTCAATATATCACTTCTTATACATTAAACTTATTAATATTTGTGCTATGTTTTTCTACAAAATACTGGTATTATTGTATATTTTCTGAAAGGTGAATTTAACCAAATTTTGTTTGTGATACTTAATCCAAAATAAATCAACATGTGCAGAACTACAATTATAGGGATTGGAGCACTAGTCCAGTAGGTAGGCTCTTGCCTTGCACACAGCCAACCTGGGTTCAATCCCCAGCATCCCATGTTGTTCTCTGAGTACCACCAGGAGTAATTCCTGAGTACAAAGCAAGGAACATCACATGATGTGACCCCAAAACAAAACCAAACCCCAAATCACAAAAAACTTCTAGAATTATCACTGTCATTGTCACTGTCCTCCCATTGTTCATCGATTTGCTCAAGCGGTCCCAGTAACATTGTGAGACTTGTTACTGTGTTTGGCATATCAAATACATCACGGGTAGCTTGCCAGGCTTTGCCGTGCAGGCGAGATACTCTTGGTAGCTTGCCAGGCTCTCTGAGAGGGGCGGAAGTATTGAACTCGGGTCAACCATGTAGGCCGCATCTATGGCAAATGTCCTACCCGCTGTGCTATCGCTCCAGCCCCTCTAGAATTATAGCAAGATATATCTTAGAGTTGCATATTTTCTTTCCAAATATAATTGCTTTTGACTTTTATTATGTCTCAGTCTACTGTTAGTAATAAATAATATTTTTTTTTGGTGTGTAGAGATTTATTATCTGAAGGAACAGTTCATCTCCGTTCAGAAATAAAGGTATAAAATAATACTTCTTTGTGAATTTAATTGCATTCTGTTGAATTTAGGGTTTTTAGAAAACACTTTTCTTAAAACAGAGGGTGATGGGTATGATTCTATAGAAATAGGATATAAGCCTTTATACATAAAGATATCCATTGTGAGGGCTGGAGCGATAGCACAGCGGGTAGGGTATTTGCCTTGCACACGACTGACCCGGGCTCAATTCCTCCATCCCTCTCAGAGAGCCCGGCAAGCTACCAAGAGTATCCCACCCGCATGACAGAGCCTGGCAAAGTCCCCGTGGTGAATTCGATATGTCAAAAACAGTAACAGTAAGTCTCACAATGGAGACGTTACTGGTGCCGGCTCAAGCAAATTGATGAACAACGAGAGGACAGTGCTACAGACAGTGCTACATAAATATAACTTCATGCTATATAAATAAATAATCAGTGCTTTAAAATAAATCAAGTCTTTTTTGGTTGTTTAATGATGAAACAATTTGGAGTTATACTAGAAAAAAATTCTGACTGAAATTAATCTGTAACCTAAGGATTTTAATTTTCTCTCTGAAACTTAGTCTTTACTAGATTGAAGACATGATTTAAAAAAAATAACTCACATATTAGGAAAAGTATTTAGAATATTTATTTAGTCATTAAAATATTTACCAGTCAGGGCTGGAGAGATAGTACAGTGGTAGGTCGCTTGCCTTGCAGGGTTTGGTCCCTGGCATCCCATGGGGTCCCCCAGCACTGCCAGGAGTGATTTCTGAGTGCAGAGTTAGGAGTAGCCCTGGAGCATCACTGGGGGTGGCCCAAAACAACAACAACACAATTACCATTTTTTCCTAGGTTTTTGTTCTAGGTGCAGGACATACAGGGATCTCTTAGCTCCCTACTCTTGGGGGAACAATATGTACAGGAAGACCTATCAGAGAAATAAGTGAGAGAAAATCTGTGAATTACAACAACCCAGTTTAATGCTTACCTAGCTCGCTGACTATCCTTAGATCTTTCTGCCTCACTTTCCTTACCTTTGAATCTTTTAGTCCTGATTATATCTGTCTTTTACATCTGTATATTTCTATCACTGTCACTATCACTATCACCCTGTTGTTCGTCGATTTGCTCAAGTGGGTGCCAGTAACGTCTCTGTTCGTCCCTGTCACGTGTTAGTGTAGCCCAATGGCATGTTGGGGGCTCTTTCAGGGTCAGGGGAATGAAGACCATCATTGTTATGTTTTTGGCATATTGAGTATGCCATGGGTAGCTTCCCAGGCTCTGCCGTGCAGGCAAGATATTCTCAGAAGCTTGCCGGGCTCTCAGAGGGAGAGAGGCTTTTGGGGCAGCCTCTAATCACCTTTATAGGTCTTCCCCATCAGGCATATATGCAGACAGGATACTCTCGGTAGTCTGCCAGGTTTTCCAAGAGCGACAAATAGACAATAAGAGGTCACATGGCCACAAATGCGGTATATTTCTAGGGTTCTTAAAAATACAACATAATCAGTTACATGAAAACAGCATTTAATCTATGTAGCAATCTTATATTACCCAAAATTGTATTACACAAATTGCTTTTCTGTGTAAATAATTAAAATATAATTAATGGTTCAAATTTGTTTTCATGTTCTCAAAGACCAAAAACATTGATCCAGCAAATAAGTTTCAAAACAAACGACAGTCTACAATTAAGGGAAAGAAGACAAGTTCAAGGTATGATACATTCAAAAGCATTTGCATTTTTTTTTCAGTTTTATTATTCCCAGTATCATCATCCTTAATTATTAAGCTTTTACTTTTTCTCCAGATAATTTTTACTCCAAATTTAACAAATGACATAATATATTATTTATTTATGCTAGTATGTATTTATATATCAAAATATATAAATAATATATGATATAGATACAATATATTATATGCATTATTTGTATACAATGTATAATGTGTATTATCTATACATAGTAGTTAAAGTATACATTATAGTATAAGTTAACAAATTATACTATGTATTATCTAATTTCAGTAATTACTCAGAAATGTAGCAGCTGTGAACATTTAGAAGTGTTCCTTTAAGCATAATTGCAACATCTCAAATATTTTTTACATGTGAATGTAGTTTATTTATTTAAAAAAATTTAAATTTATTTTAATGTACAAAATGTCACAATGGTTGATTAAATTCTAGAATTAAAATTGGTTAGATATCAAAATTCCAAGAGATTTATGTGAAAATTGTTACATCTGATCATGGGTTGTTCTTGTCTAAGCTGTTTTGGCTAGTTGATAGTTCTGTGTTATTGTTTTTGTTTTTGAGTTTAGTTGGCTTCTCTGTTCCTTTCCCATATAATTTGCTGTGCTCTTACTGGAATTTCAGTATAGAAGATTAGGAGGGGTTGTACAGTGTGCTGTCCAGAGACTTCAGGATCTATGCTCTGGACCAATGAGTTAACAAGACTTTGGGAGGTGGGCATGGCTGCAGGGGCTTCCAGATATATGTGGGTTAGGGAGGGCTACCCACCTCACTCCTAAAACACCAGAGTTCTCAGCCTGGGCACTAGAGTACCTGAAATTCTTTGCGGTTTGGTGTCTCTGCAGAGAGAATTTGTAAAGGGTGGAGTTGAGCCCTTGGTGTGGCTGCAGCTGTGGGGTGTGGGTGTGGGCTTCAGCAGGGTGGGGGCTCAGCCCACCTGCCTTCCCACAGCACCCCAGAGTTTTCAGCCCAAGGACCCGTGGATCACAGTTCTTTACACAAATGTCTTTAATAATTTATGCTTTCTCCATTTATGTTTTTTAGTTTAAAATTGAAATACTCTCCTGTGCAAACTGTACATGATGTTGCCATTCCAGATGATTTCAAAGACTTTTCTCTTGCAAAAACGATTAGCAAAATTGAAGGGCAACTAGAAAAGGAAGGTTTACCAGATGACATAGATGATATTTTTTGTGGTGTTAGTGATGACATTGGAGCAGGTATGTTTTTCTTGTATTTTTATTCTTTTTCACAAGTAATACTTTTTTTTTATTTTCAAATGTGTTGGATATCTTGCATTTGCTTAACAGTCACTTTGTTGGACATGATTGTGGGAGGAATGAGTGGATTTATAGATGAGGTTATCATAATAGATTATTCAAAGATTAAAATTTTTTTACTTAACTTACTTTTAACATAATTGTATTTATTGCACGTTAAATAGATACATAGAAAAATTCTCTTTCCTATAAACTCATTTTTGCATACCTCTAGAAAAATAACAAGTTTAGGTCTTCTAAAGACATTACATTAAAAATTAGCCTCTAAAATAGTTGACTTGGGGCTGGAGCAATAGCACAGCAGGTAGGACGTTTGCCTTGCACGTGGCTGACCTGGGTTCGATTCCCAGCATCCCATATGGTCTCCTGAGCACCACCAGGAGTAATTCTTGAGTGCATGAGCCAGGGGTAATCCCTGTGCATGGCCAGATGTGACTCTAAAAAAGAAAAATAAATAAATACATAAAATAGTTGACTTATGAGGAGCGACCTCTATGACTGTAAACCAAAAAATAGCCAATAGAATATATATGGATATATTGAATGTGACTTTATATAAAAATTTAGCTCCTCAGTAATCACTTGATCACTTGACATCCTGTTACTCATCGATTTGCTTGAGTGGGTGCCAGTAACATCTTGATTCATCCCTGTCTTGTGCTACTGTGGCCCAGTGGCTTCTGCTTGCTCCAGAAACATGAAGAGTCTCAAACTAGTCGTTCAGGGTTTTGACAAAGAAGTCTGAACATCTCGTAGGTGGGTGGCCACGCAATTTTTTGACGTCACATGGAATCTAGTTAGTAATGACTCCAGTTGTCTCCAAATCAAATTGTGTCCAGCGCATCTGATTTTCGACGCCTTGGCATACAAGTCAGAATCCATGATTCTTGATCGTCGAATGGAGATTGGAACTCTGGAAACTTCCTCTCACTTGAGTGAGGCGTGATACTCCAAGGATAGCTCTTTTGATTCTTCTTTGGGAGACCTGAATAGTGTTCTCATCCTGTTTTCCTAGGATCCAGGTCTCTGAGGCCTATGTTAATGCAGGAAGAACAGTGGAATCAAAGAGACATGCCTGGAGCTGGAGTTATTTGTGCTCTTAGCAATTTCTTTGACACTCTTGAAGCTCTTCCAAGCCACTCTTTCTCCTGCGAAACTCAGGTGCCAGGTCATTCCTCATGTTGACTTCTCAATCTAAGTACACATAACTGTTACATACGAAGATGGTCGTTCTCTTGAGAGAAAATGGAATGCCAGGAATGAGACCGTTTCTCATAAACATTGTCTTTGTGAGCTGTAGTCCGACCTTTCCACTGGGTTCCAAACCATATTTGAACCCCATCAAATATGGTGCAGTAATCTTGGAAGATGGGTATTAAGTGTTTCATGGTCGAAGTCGGCCAGCATTTGTGCTGCTTGGCTAATGTTTGGTGTTATTAGAATGATGTCATCAGCGAAGTGGAGGTGGTGTAGTTGCCGACTGTCTATCTTCACTCCCATTCTTTCCCATTCCAGTCGTCGTATGACATTCTTGAGGGTAGCACTGAAGAGTTTTGGTGAAACAGTATCACCCTGCTGAACCCCTCTCTTGACAGGAATGATCACTTCTTTGTAGAATGGTGAGATCTTGGTAATGAATCCATAATACAGCTCACGGAGGATCCTGATGTATTGTGTTAGAACGCCCTGTTTGGCTAGGGCTTCGATGACCGCTTCCATCTCAACAGAATCATAGGCCTTCTTTAAATCAATGAACATTAGACAGAGTGGCATCTTGAACTCCTGAGAAACCTCAATGAGCTTGGCTATGGTATGGATATGGTCGATTGTGCTGAATCCTTTTCAGAACCTGGCTTGCTCGCATGGTTGTCCTTCATCTAGTGTTCTGCCAATCCTATTCAGGATGACTCAAGTGAACAGCTTGTAGACAACAGACAACAGGCAGATCAGGCGATAGTTGCCAATGTCATGGATGTCTCCCTTCTTATACAGTAGTACAGTCCTGCTGGTTTTCCACTGGGATGGAACCTTGCATTCAGACAGGTAGTGTGTGAAGACCCGAGCCTGTGTATTGATGAGAACTGATGGCAGGTTCTTCAGGTGTTTGGGTCTGACCTTGTCTGGGCCGGGTGCTGTTCACTTCTTTACTGAAGAAGTGGCATGTCAGATTTCGGAAGGGAGAACGTTGGGAACGACATATCCGTCCTACGGAATTTGGTATGTGGGCAGGTGTACGTGGCTATCGAAGAGATTCAAGTAGGAGTCATGGATAATCTTCTCCATTGCCCTTCTGGAAGATGTGATAGATCCATCAGAACATTGGAGGGCAGTCATCTTGGTCTTGTAGTTGGTGAAGGACAGGCGGGCTTTGCAAATGCTTTTCCCAGCTTCTGCCGCATCTGCCAGCACTGCTGCTCTTCTCTCTTTGAGGTTTTCCTTTATTGCTTCTCTGCACTGCTTTGTGAGCTTGGACGTTCGCTTGTGGTTTCCTGAGGCTTGCGCCAAGCCATGTTGGCAAATGAGCTTGAGAGTTTTCGAAGACATGAGTCTTTTTGTGGCTATCTCAATCTCGGCATTCCTCGTATAATCATGGAGGTGCTGAATCAGTCGATCGTATTCCTGTCAATGTTGTCAATGACGGAATCTTCCCATGTTGCCGCAATATTGCCAAAGAGCTCCCAGTTGGTGGTTGTTCTGGGAGTTCTCTTCTTAAACTTTGCATTCCTTTCTTCCTGCTCTGTGAGTAGAATTTTGCATGAAGGAGATGGTGGTCCGATCTCGTTTGGAATTTTGGGATAACAGCAACATCAGTCAGGGAAACCATCGATTGAATATGATGTGGTCAATTTCGTTGTGGAACCATCCACCAGGGAGACTCCCATGTCCAACGTTTAGATTTGGCCTTTTGGAACTGTGAGTTACCATGGATGGTCTTGGTCAACATGATGAACTCAGTCTGTCACCCTTTTTGCTTTGTTCTGGGCCATGGGTCCTGATGTGGAGTTCTTCGGCTGATCTTCTCGATCCTATCTTTGCATTAAAATCACTGACAGTGATCTTGTAGAAGGTGTGGTCTTCTTTATAGAACTTCTCCAGCTCCATATAGAACTTCTCAATTTCTCCTTCACCATAATTGGATGTTGGTGCATAGACAACGAAGATAGAAACTGCCGGTAGTGAGCCACATCTATTCAAGTGTAATAGTCCGATTTGGGTTGTTAGGCATTCGAATGAATCAATGATCATGGCCAAGTTTGTGTTGACAAGGACATCAACACCACTGACGCTTCTTTTGTTGCATGTTCCGAGGAACAGTTCTTTCCCACTGTTGAAATTGGCATGAATGTGATTGATGCCTTCTCGTCTCGGTCAGACCAATGATGTCATACTTGATCTTTCGTGCTTGCACAATATGGTCCTCGATGGATGCATGCAATGCCAATGTACTTGCATTGAAAATCCAGATAGTCATTTTTGTCCTTCTTCATTTTGGCAGCCTAGTTCAGCCCTGAGATTTTATCAGCCTCTCCTTCCTCATCCTTCTTAACGCTGGAGTATTGGTGGCTCTTTCAGGGTCAGGGGAATGAGACTCATTGTATTTACTGATTTTGGCATATCTAATATGCCACGGATAGCTTACCAGGCTCTGCCATGCGGGCAAGATATTCTCAGTAGCTTGCCAGGCTCTCCAAGAGGGATAAAGGCTTTTAGGGCAGCCTCTAATCGCCGTTACAGGTGTTCCCATGGTTCAAACCATATTTGAACCCCATCAAATATGGTGCGGTAATCTTGGAAGATGGGTATTAAGTGTCTTATGATAATATAATTTTTATATAATTTTTACTAAGTGTCCTCTGTAATATAATTTTTTATTTAAAAATTAAGCATTTTGTATTAGGTATCATAAAGGGTATTTAAAAAATCATCTGATTCTCTGCCAGATAGTACAGCAGTTAAGGTACTTGCCTTGTATGCATCCCACCTCACTTTATCCCAGGCATTGCATATGGTTCTCCGAGCGCTGCCAGGTGTGGTCCTTTAGTGCAGAGCCAAAAGCAAGCCCTGTGTACAGCTGGCTGCAACCCCAAAGAAACAAAAAATTTCTTGACTGTGAAAATCTTAACAATTTCTAAGTGTTATGATTATTGTGCTTCATGCTGGACAGTCATACATGAGTCTTATGCATTTATTATATTCATTTAATAAAAAATTCGTAGGGCTAGTTATGGGGAGGGAAGGTTTGTGGAACAGGAAATTTCCTTTAATATGTCTGCTGATATGCCTTCAAATAATCAAATGGGAGCTGTTCTTCAGTACTGTCATCTGTGTGCTATTATATTAGTCCTGCTCCCCAATTAGGAACCCAGCAAAAATAACTGCTTAAAATTGCTCATGTTACCTTTTTGCTGAATCACCTTGACTCTTTACCTCCCCTTTCGGTATCCTTGACCTAGGTGTCAAGGATTCATCCCTTTGGTGTGAGTTTTATCATTTCGGATTATTGCTTAGAGTGAGTGGTTTGACAGCATGGAATGCTCTATAAGACTGAAGTCCTACTAGTCAGAGTCATACAGAAAGGGGAGGGTAATGCTCCAGAGACAGAAGCACATGGCTATTTGCCAGTAATTCTGAGACTAATTTGGGGAGAGGATGATACAGGACGTCATACTACTCTGTTCTTTCGGTCTTCTTTCCCCTTAGAGCAACTGCTATAAACTTTTATACTTCGTGTTTTACTTCTAGCAGATGAGGCAGGATGAAAGATAAGATTAGAGAGATCTAGGTGGGGTTAGAGCAGTTTAGGTCATTCACGAGCTCATGGTAATATTGAGTGTACTTCCCAAGATGGGCTGTGGAGTAGGAAGTAAGTATGGAGAGGTTCTGTCACTGCACGATTTATCCTAATATCTTTTTAGTGACAATTCAGAGTGTTGACTCAGATAAGCTTCAGGAAGATAAAATCTTTGTTCTTATAATACCGTTACTATGCCCGGAATAGAGATGTAATGTTTATTTTCTAATGGATAAGTGAATAAATTACAGGTGATTTTAACATTTAGTTTAGTTTTCATTGAATAAGGAACTTTTTGCTGGCCATAAAATAACCAAAGGTGGGGCTGGAGCTATAGTACAGCGGATAGGGCGTTTGCCTTGCATGCGGCCCACCTGGGCTTGTTTCCCGGCATCCCACCAAGCACCAACAGGAATGATTCCTGAGTGCAGAGCCAGGAATAACTCCTGAGTGTCACTGTGTGTGACCCAAAAAAGAAAAAAAGAAAAACAAATAACTCAAGGTAGATTCTAATTAAAGTTTGTAGAACAATTTTTTTTCATCAGTAAACTATTAGTATATTGTTTATATAATTCTGTGAAATTAGAACACATGTTATAGTCAGTGGCCTTTTATAAACCACAGGGCTAGAAAGGAGTTATGCTTGATTTTGCTGAATATTGAGACATCCCCTCTCTGAGACCACTTTAAATTCTGTTTGAGCTATTTTGGATCACCTTGGTAAATATTGATGTAGTCTGCAAATTAAGGCGAGTACTGACTTTTGTAACTCAGAATCTCAGGGACGTTTTGTCCCCCTTTTTGTTACTTTCAGTATTGAGCTATAAACAGATCCTTTCTGTTGTGTGGAATTATCATTACCTTTATTATAGTATGGCATTTAATGTTTTTATTTTTCCTGTTAGACTCTTCACTAATTTGTCACTCAAATGGTCTGCCTTGTAATTAATGGTATTTTTAGAGTCACTGAAAGACAGTAAATGTAATTATTTAATTTCACAGAAGCACAGATCAGATTTCTAAAGGCTAAACTCCGTGTTATGCAAGAAGAATTAGATAATGTTGTATGTGAATGCAATAAAAAGGTAAGTTTTAAAACCTCTCAAAATAAATGCCCTATAAGTCGAAGACATCATAGGAACAATTTCAGTTACATTTTAATAATAATTGTATTGATATATATTTGTTTAATTTGAATTCAAAATTTGTAAATATTGAACTATTCTTTTGATATATTGAATTTATATCGAGCTAAATTGTTTTAGAAACTTATTAGTTATTATCATTTCCTATATTAGATTTACAAGCATAAAGCATTCAACTTCATTTCTGAAGATGCAAATGGAATGTAATTTATTTTTCTTCATGAAGTGTATTAATATCTTATCAATAATAATATGAAGCTCTTTGTTTTCTGCCTTAATTTTTGTAGCAAATCGTAAGGACTTTTGTCATTTGCTCTATAATTTTATAAATTCTAGGAAGATGAAATACAGAATTTAAAGTCTCAAGTAAAAAATTTTGAAGAAGATTGTGTGAGACAGCAGCGAACAATTAATTTGCAACAGGCTCAAACAGAAAAATATAAAACTCTTTTCGAAGAATCAATTAAAAAATGTGATGGATTGCAGCAACAGCTGTCTTCAGTAGAAAGGGTAATAATTTTGTTATTTTTCCTAACCAAAATACAGTAAAATATTATAGTTACACATCTATATAGACACCATTTTTGGTTGTCCAAGTTATTTTCTATTTACTAGAAACCCTTTCTTTCAAAATATGGGAGAATTTTGTTTGTTTGTTGGGCCACACCTAGCTCTGCTCAGAGCTCACTCCTGGCTCTTCTCTTGGGAGACCTTCTATTGTGCTGGGGATCAAATCCAGGCCAGCCACGTGCAAGTCATGGGCCCTACTCAACTAGAATATGGCTTCAGACCATTGAACGATATTTTTATTAAGAAAAACTTTGAAAGATTCACATCCAGTGCATCTCACCATTTCAGTGTATAATTTGTTGCCTTTTAGTATAGTCACAGAGTTGTGTAACAATCACCATTCTAAGTTTTAAAATACTTTCATTATCTCCAGAAAGATACTCTCATATCTTTCCCAATCCCCTCCAGCTGAGGCAGCTTCTAATCTGTTTTCTATCTTGATACATTTGCCTATTCTGGATACTTAATTTATATAGAATCAGACAATATGTAGTGTTTTGTGACTGACATCTTTCATTTAGCTTAATCTATTTTAATCAGTATTAAAGCACATAGACAGTTACCTAATGTGAGACAGTGGCCTAGATTAATTATATTGAGTAGCTAGCACCATTGTTAAAGCAACTGTTCATTCTACATTATATTCTCTTGACTTCTTTGTCACAAAGTAAGTGCTCATATATGTGTGAATTACTTTGGGGATCTCAGTTCTATTACATTGATCTGTGTGTCTGCTTTTACCACACCGTTTTTCTTAGCATCACACTGTAGTATATTATAAAGTCAGAATGTGAAACAACCTACTTTTTTCCCATAGTATCAATGTACAAAGTTTCTACATACCACCATTAAAGTACCCATGACCTTCCACCAGTATCTGTGTTTACAATAAAACAGTATTGTAAAATAAAAAAAACCCCAATAAAACAGTTTTTTTTTATTGACCTACTATTGGTTTATAATACTATCCATTTTGAGGAGTACACATTCATACCTGTGTGTAAGAACCAAAGTTTTAGTGCCATCCTACTATCAAAATGACCCTCTCTACCCACTCCCTTCTCTCTGATCACCATCAAATTTTTCTCATCATCTAAGAGTTAAATTTTGTTGTGATTTGCCAATTCCTTTGGTTGTTGTACATGCGAAAGAAACCATCCAGAGATTGTGTTTTAGTTTTTGGTCTATTTCACTTAGTAGTTACCTCCAGTTGCATTTGTGTTGTGCAAAGGCATGATTTAATTTGGGTCACATCTGGCAGTGCTCATGGCTTACTCGTTGGGTCTGTACTCAGGGATCACTCATGGGGATGCACAGAGGATAATATGTGGTGCTGGAATCGAACCTCCCTCAGCCACCTGCAAGGCCAGTGCCCTGCTCTCTGTGCTGTGTCTCTCTCTGGGCCCTGGATAGTTTCATCTCGTCATCTTGTGGATGGGCTACTGAGAATCTCTGCCTTTTCCATGTGAGGGGTGAGGTAAATCAGAATGGCTCTTTCTGTAGCAGCCACCCACAAAGCTGTGAAGATGGGCAAAGATGAATTCCCTTATTTTGATGGAGAGAAGGCAGCTTGAATTGTGGGCTTTGCAGCTACTGCGAATCTCTGCCTTTTCCATGTGAGGAGCGAGGTACATCAGGCTGTTTCTTTCTGTAGCAACCACCCACAAGGCTGTAAAGAAGTCTGGCAATAGCAGATGGTATTCACACACAGTTGGATTTGTTTAGAAGCTGACATGAAGAGCAGCATGTGTTTTGTTTTGTTTTGTTTCGCTCTTAATTACTCAGAGGCAAGGAGATCAGTTTTCAAGTAAAACATCATGATACAGCCAGGAAAACTATATATCAAAGAGGATAATAGATTACTCTATTTTTAAACATAGAATTTCAGTTCATACATTTCATTGAGTATCTCTTTTGAAGAAGACTCTTTACTAGGCATATAAGGGATGAAAGAGGATACTTTAAGTATGGAAAATAATTTCAGTTTATGAAACATGTGATTAGTGCTTCTATGACATTAATGTGCTAGGACTATAGAAGTCAAGACAATTTCAATATTCAGGGAAAGGAAGTGTGGGCATATGAAGTACATTTTGGTTTCATAGCATGTACATATATGTATATCAAGCTGCAGCAGAAGTTCTGAAGTTTGGGTACCTGACACACCCAGAAAGATAGTGAAGGAAGGCTTATTGGAGGAGAGGAAATCCTCACGATACAGCCTTAGGTAAATATTCAAAGATGATATGCTCTAGTAAGATAAGAGTGAGAAGTAAGAAGGGGTCCAGGAAGGATAGAGGCAAGAAACACCTTGAATGTTTTGGAAAAATTCCAGTTCTGCTGACATTGCTAAGATGACTTCTTTGGAAGGAGATATGGTTATAGTGCCAGATTATGGAAAGTTTGGAGTATAATATGATTCATGTTTCTTCATATGTCACCTATAGACGTGCTGCCTATAGACAGTCTCTTAGAATATTTGTGGAAATTTAGGTCTAAACCTATCCCAGGGTCTGGTAAATAATCCATAAGACCTATTGTTTCTGTTCAGAATTGGGATTTCTCTATAAGGCAAAAGTATGTTTAGCAAATATTTTCTTAACTGAATTATGAGGTTTCTGTTTTATATTGGTGGTTTGAGAGGCTCCCAAGGGAAGAATTATGAGTTGATTATCAAGGGTAAAATACATGTCTATCTTTGAGTCAGTATAAAGCAGAAATCCCAGAAAAATTATAGTTTAAAGCATAATTGGAGAGTACAACTTTAAGGTTACATTCTCTGAGATGTATATCAGTGTTCAGCTTCTTTCTGTGTGTGTGTGTGTGTGTGTGTGTGTGTGTGTGTGTGTGTGTGTGTATGTGTGTGTGTACTACTGACTTTGGGGAGGAGGTAGAAAATATGGGAATGGAAAAAGCTGCAAAATTATACAGCAAACTTATGAAGTATATAAATGTTCTCTATATCTCCTTTACAGGAATTAGAAAATAAACAAAGACTACAAAAACAAGCTGCCTCTAGTCAGAGTGCCACAGAAGTTCGCTTAAACAGAGCTCTAGAAGAAACAGAGAAATATAAGTTGGAGTTAAGTAAATTAAGGCAAAATAACAAGGTATGAGAAAATTGAATAGTTCTGTCAATAAGAACCATCGTTCAATTCCTGTTTTATGCATGAGTGAAAAATATTAGTTTTAAAATTAAAAGATTTTAATTTAAATTTTAGATGTTATGTTAGACATTTCTTTTTTCAGATGAAACAACTTAATTTGAAGCAAGATGACTGTTTTACTAAGGTTACATTGCCTTAATTGGGTGGTAACACAACTCTGGAAAATTCATTTTTCGTCCAACATATCATCAGACACATGTGTGCGCATATTACATGCTAGAAACTTTTCTAATCTCTGAGGGCAAATAGTGAGAGGGAAAATCTCTTATAAAATTGTTATTTCCTTTGAGCTCCACAATTTTTAAATTTGTAATGCAAGCTGCTACTTTACAGAGTAGAAGTGGATTTAAAACTGACCATATGTCAGTGTTTGTTGAAGTGTTTATCGCTGGGTCCTTTCCCAGTGTTGCTGATACAGTAAGTCTGGAGTAAAGCCTGTAAAGCTGTTTTAACCAGAAGCTGATTGCTACTGGTTCTGAAATGACATTTTTTTAAATTTAAGTGACATTTCCTTTCAGCAAGAGCTTCCAGTATGCATCATTAAGTATCAACATCTAGGGCTGGCGGAAGGTTGAGGAAGAGGAGTGCATGCCTTGCCTCCCAGGCCCAGGATTTGGCCCTTCCTTTCTGGTTAACCATTAATTACTTAGCCTAAAACTACTTAGTCTAAAAGTTTATTTATTCTTTTGCTTATGTTCATCTATTTGTATGATTTCTCTATCATATGAGTAAAATCACATGGTGTTTATCTTTCATCTTATTTCATCATATATAATAACCTGTATGTTTTTGCAAATAGCAGAATTTCATCTTTTTTTTTAATAGCTATGTACTAGTCCTTCTTGTGTATGTGTACCACATCTTCCTTATCCAGTCATCTGTGTAAGCACTTAGGATGTTTCCAACTCTTGACTATTGTAAATAATGCTACAGTAAACATAGGGGTGCATATATGCCTTCAAATGAGGTGTTTTTTTTTAACTTGGGGGCAAATACCCAGAACTAAATAATAAGAAATTAATTCCTATTTTTTTTAAGATGTTCCATACTGTTTTCTGCCTGCCTACCCCAATTTATATTCTCCTAAGCACTATACAAAGAGAACCTTCTCTCCACATCCTCTCCAACACTTGTTTATTGCCCTTTAGATTCTAGTGATTCCTAGGTGTGAGGTGATATCTTGTGATCTGGATATTCCTTAAAAGAGGTTATGAATACCTTTCACATTTCTCTTGGCCATCTATATGGGAGATGACATCTGATAACCACAACTACTGTAAGAATCTCATCATATTATTTTTTATCTAGCCAATGCAGGGCTAAGTATTACTACCAATTCCTGGAATATATGTTAAATAAAATAAATAAATAAGCCCATATATTAATGTGGTGAAAGCTTTGTGTACACTTTGTAAATATTGCCTATTAGTTTTTGTTTTTTGTCAACCTGAAAGTTATACTTCATTAGAGTGTGTCTATTAGAAAATGCTTAGTAACTTAACAATGACTTGGATAACGAAATTAAGAGCCACCCCTATTACATACAAGTGATAACCTCTTGATTACATTAGTAGCAATAAAATATAGAAATGAACTGGGATTGTAAGTTCTGAGGAAGATGTTTAACAAAAGCATCAGTGACTCAGAGTTTTAATGTATCTTCTCTGATAGACTATGCTCATTTTTTAGGCCTCAGGGATGGAATGGTGATGGGGACTTATTCATAGAAGTTATTAACTGAACAGTTTAGGACATCATCTTTTTTTTTTTTACTTATTTTTATTTTTATTTATTTTTAAAATTTTTATTAGTGAAACACCATGAGGTACAGTTGTAGACTTACAAGTTTTTGTGCTTGGGTTTCAGTTATACAATGATTGAGTACCCATCCCTCCACCAGTGCCCATTCTCTACCACAAATGATCCCAGTATCTCTCCCCCCATCCCACCCCGCCTCTGTGGCAGAGCATTCCCTTTGTTCGTTCTCTCCTTTTGGGAGCTGTGGTTTGCAAAAGAGGCATTGAGTGGCAGTCATGTTCGGTCTATAGTCTACTTTCAGCATGCATCTCCCATCCTGGGAGGATCCCCCCAACAACCTTTACTTGGTGCACCCTTCTCTATCTGAGCTGCCTTTTCCCCTAGCATGTGCTGCTGGCCTTCAAGCCATAAGTACCTCCTGGTACTTATCTCGACTATTCTTGGATGTTAGTCTCCTATTTTGTTACTTTATATTCCGCAGATGAATGCAATCTTTCTATGTCTGTCTCTGTCTTTCTGACTCATTTCACTTAGCATGATACTTTCCGTGTAGTACCACTTGTATGTAAATTTCATGACTTCATCTTTTCTAACAGCTGCATAGTGCTTCATTGTGTAGAAGTACCGAAGTTTCTTTAACCAGTCATCTGTTCTCAGGCTCTCGGTTTTTTTAGGACATCATCTTTAAGAAACTTGTTAACAATGAGCATGTTCCTATAATATTATTTATAATTTGGTGAATTTTAAAGGAATTTTCAAGAAAATGGAATAACTACATTGGGATTTTCTAGTATTCTAGATGTAGATTTGATCTCCGTACAGCAATATAAAATTACCCTGTAGTCATCAGAAAGCTAACAATTAAAAAAAATAATAAACTTATTTTCCACCAAGCTTAGGAAACAGTTGATCTGGCTTTTAGAGTCAGAGTAATTTGTGAAATGAAGTGAGTCAGCTGTAAACCTGATGCCACTTGAGTCTAGGAGCCCTGCTATATTATTCAGAGCTTTCCCTCGGGGCCTGGCATATAATATATATAGGAGCCCTGTTGTATTATTCAATGCTCTGCCTCGGTGCCTGGCATATACTAATTACCTCTGAAACTGCCCAGGGAGGGGGGTGTCAGGGAAGATACGATTCAAGACAACTATTTGATAGTTAAATTCTAATTTTTTAAAAATTTTGGTAGAAAATTTATTTGAGAAAAGTAAGGTCAGGGACGGGAGTTTCCTTCTACTAGATTCTACTTTCAAACAAGGTAATCGTGGCTTGAAGTCCATTTTAAATGTCATCAAATTCATGTTACTTTATTTAGAACTGAATCATTTATAATTCTTCATTAATTCATATAGAGGTGGTAGTGAGAGCCTGCTAGGTCTTCAGTAAAGGCTGGAAATAAAAAATAGTCATTTTAGCATTACAGTCATTTATCATGTCACGGTCCTCCCGTTGTTCATCGATTTGCTCGAGCAGGCCCAGTAATGTCTCCATCATGAGACTTATTGTTACTGTGTTTGGCATATTGAGTACGTCACGGATAGCTTGCCAGGCTCTGCCTTGTGGGCGAGATACTCTCGGTAGCTTGCCGGGCTCTCCGAGAGGGGCGGAGGAATCGAACTCGAGTTGGCCATGTTGGCTGCGTGCAAGGCAAACACCTTTCTGCTGTGCTATCGCTCCAGCCTACATTTATCATAAAGTAGAGAAAATGGATGTTATTTAAATAGTTGATGAAGCAAAGTTTGGATGCAACTCTGATAAATGCCCTGAAAGATATCTGATTGGTGTTTTGAGGACATGAACAGTTAAGTGGATGCTTTCATAAAAATCTTTCTAAAGATAAAAATCTGAATAATATATGAATTATATGCTGGGGAAGATTATGGACAGAGGAATAGTATGTAAAAGAATGACTGTGACAGGAAAGATAAGGTAATGAAAATTAGGTATGAATATGAAGGGGGTGTTGCAAATTCAGACTTTAAATATATGTAAGAGACTGGATGTTAAGTACTCAAGAAGCATTTTAAAGCCACTGCAGTTGTTGTGGAAGAACATGCCTCAATCAGATATACATGTGGAAAGTATTTCTTAGCTTGTAGTGTGGAGAATCAATTGGAAGTCGGCTAGAACAGATGCAGATCAACTATTTGGTCATGTGAGTGAGATGATAATATCACTTGTACCAAACTGAGAGAATCTGCATCCAACAAGGAAAAATCATTTGGAGCTGGTGTGGAACAAAAGCGTAAGAAGGGATATTTTGACTTCTGGTTTTCAAAAATAAACTGAAGACACTAGTATTGGTTGGAGGAAAGAAAAGCAAGTCGTTTTAGAACATGGTGAATGTGAAGCTGTTTTGAGAACTGGAAATATGTAAAACTTGGGGAGAAGTCTGCACAGGTACAGTAGAAGAAACTGTTACCAATGGGAGGGGCCTTGAATAGAAGTGCTGTGCTGTCGTCTTTATGACAAGAAATCTGTGACTATCTGCTGCCATCTTGTCTGTTTTGATAGTAGTCAAACTAGATTATTAGATGATATCTATGTGGCTGGAGCCATAGCACAGTGGGTAGGGTGTTTACCTTACACGCGGCTGACTCAGCCAACCCAGGTTCAATTCCTCTGCCCCTCTCGGAGAGTCTGGCAAGCTACCGAGAGTATCTCGCCCGCATGGCAAAGCCTGGCAAGCTCTCTTTGATGTATTCGATATGCCAAACACAGTAACAACAAGTTTCACAATGCAGACGTTACTGGGCCTGCTCGAGCAAATCGGTGAACAATGGGAGGACAGTGCTGAGTGGGCTTTTAAAAATTCCTTTAAGATTAGTAAGGTTCATTGTCTTTTTAAATACTTGTTGGCCTTTGGTATGTCTTATCTGGAGAAATATCAGGTCCTTTGCTCAATTTTTTCTCAAGATTTTATTTATATTTTTACTTTATCTTACCATTTTTATTGAGGTTACAGGATTTATAATGCTGTTAATCATATTTTGTATGCATATATCATTCTGTCACCATACCCCCACCAGGCAGCTAGACTCCCTCTACCATGTTCCAGAGAGGGGCTTATACTCCCACCATGCAAGCTCAGTTTTATAGACAAGCTGTTCAGTTCCAATGACTTTGACCATTTATTGTTCCCTTACTGTGTTTTTTCTTTTAATCCCACATGAGCTCTTTCTCTCCTCTTCCCCATTTTATTGTGGAAGTGGTAACACCTACACATATGTAGATCAATATGATTAATATTCTGGAATCCCACAAAACTGTAGATAAGTTGATAAAGTGAAATTTTTTCAAAAGCTATATTTTTGCAGGTATATAAAGGTAAAGGCCCTCCCGTTGATCGTAGATTTGCTCGAGCAGGCCCAGTAACGTCTCCATTGGAGACTTTGTTGTTACTGTGTCTGGCATATCGAATACTCTCGGTAGCTTGCCAGGCTCTCCGAGAGGGGCGGAGGAATCGAACTCGGGTTGGTCACGTTGGCCGCTTGTAAGGTGAACGCCCTACCCGCTGTGCTATCGCAGGTATATAAAATTTTAAAATATTACAAATAATCCAGTGCTAATCCATTGAAAATTTACATGAGATATATAATACAAATGCAATAATACAAATGTACATAATATAGTAAGAGTGTAGAGAATTAAGACAATTTTAAAGATAGAATCCAAAATGTATATTGAAAATGTAATCTGAAATGAAGATACCATAAAAGTGCATTTTATCCCAAGAAAGGGTATATTGGCTTTATGTTAGAAAATAGGCCAGAGAGATAGTATGATGGGTAGGGCTCATGCCTAGCATGCAGCTGACCTGGGCTTTTCCTGGAGTGATCCCTCAACACAGAGCCAGTAGACACTGAGCATAGCAAGAGTGACCTTCCAAATCAAAACGAAGCAGAAGGCTTGTTCTTCAAGCCCGTGTTCTCCTTTGAACACATATTTTGCTTGCTTGTATCTTTGATTGCTTTTTTTCCCCCTCTGGAGAGCCCATGTTCTCTTTGAACATTTACTTCTTCTCCTTGATTCTCTTCTCTTCTCTTTGATGTCTCTCCTCACATGTTTCCCAGTTTTGTTCAACAAAAACTATCTTACTTCACTAAAATATGTGTGTGTATTGTAGATACTGTTTAAGGTCTGAATTAATAAGTAAAAGATTGTAATAAGCTCTATGGATATTAAAAAAAAACCCTAACATGTGGTCTGACATAGAAAATTCAATATAAATGAAATGGTAATTCATTATTGAAAATGTGTGAAATCCCTTAGCAAGCTAGGAGTAAACAAACCTTTACTGATCTTACAGAGGACAACCATAAACACCAGGAATGAATGCACCATGAGTATATGCTGTACTTAATGCCAAATACTGCAGTTTTCCTTCTCTTTTAAAGAAGCTCCTTTAATGCTTCCTGCAAGACTGGTTTCAAGGCAATGAATTGATTAAGCTGTTTATTTGTCAACGATAGAGGAATGAAGCTCTCTATCATTCCTTCAAATCTAAATGATAATCTAACTGGATAGAGTCTTCTTGGTGACCTTATTTCACCAAGTTTTTGCACTAAATCTCTCCATTCTTTTCTGGCTCATAGAGTCTCATTTGATAGATCTGCTATGAATCTTACGGTCTTTCCTTTGTAAGTTACTTTTTTGATCTTGCTGCTTTCACTATTCTGTCTTGGGTTTTTGTTATTCTGAGCACAATATAAATGTAAATACATACAAAAGATCACTGAAACCAATAACTGTTTAAAATAATAAACAAGACTGACAAACCATTAGCTAAATTTACAAAGTGAAAAAGAGAAAGGCTTGATAAGCTGGATCAGAAATGAAAGAGAAATTACAGCAAATACAACAGAAATAGAAAGTGTTATCTGAAGTTACTATGAAAAATTCTGTGTCACAATATTGGAGAACCAATGGATAAATTTTTGGAATCCTTAAAGATCCCAAGACTGAGTTAGGAGATTACCTGAACTGAGATCAGTTACTAACAAGGAAATTAAGCAATAACAAAAGTTGTGCTCAAAACTAAAGTCCATATTTACTGGTTTTTCCAAACCTTCAAAGAAGACATTTCCTATTCTTCTCAGGATCTTTTAAACAAATTGAAGAAATAGGAGTCCTCTCCAACAGTATCTATGAGGGCGACATTAACCCTGATCACAAAATCAGAGATATGACTAAAAAGTAAAATTATAGTTGTAGACTTACTGATTTTTTGCTTGGGTTTCAATTATACAATGATCGAATACCCATTCCCCCACCAGTGCACATTTCCCACCTCCATGGATCCCAGTATCCCTCCCACCCCCCATCCCGAAAGTTTGTAAGTCTTTAACATACCTCACAGTGATTCACCAATAAAAAATTAAAATTAAAAAATAAATAAAAATGGAAAAAAAGTAAAATTACAGACTAATATTCCTAATGAACATAGATGCAAAGATCCTTATCAAAATCTTAGTGAACTGAATCCAACAATACATAAGTTGATCATGATGAAATATGTATTTCAGGTATGCAGGGTTGGCTTTTGTATACAAATCAATGTAATATACTATACAAAGAAAAGTTTAAACCATATGAATATATGGTTAAATATATGTAAGTCAATCAGTGTAACACAATATATCAATACAAGCAGAAGCAAAAATTATATGATTACAGGAAATTCAGAGAAAGCATTTGACAGAACCTAAGACCCATCAAGTTCAACTAAATGGAGTAGAAGGAAGTTTCGTCAAAATAGTGAAATTATTACAAATCCACAGCTAACATCATAGTCAATTATGAAAACTGTCGTTCCTGACAATTTTTATAACATGAGGCCCAAGACAAGAATATCTACTCTCCACTCTGTTTTCAGCATGGTATTGAGTATTGAAAATCATTGTCATTAGCAATTAGACAAGAAGAGACATACTGAGGGGACCCAGATTGGAAAAGAAGTCAGGATATGATAATTTGCTGATGATGTCCTGCCCCTGTGCCAGGCTGTCTTCACCGGGGCCCCTCGGAGTGGGGCAGGTTGAGTCTTTCTCCCTGCCTCAAGCAGAACCCAGGCAGCTGTAAACCTCCAGAACCCAGCCACAGCCATGATCAAGGCCACTCTCCACATGCTCAGATGAGCCTCACAAATGAAGGAACCAGCAAAAGAACCCAGACATTCAGGACCTGTGGCTGAAATCTCCAAGCCTGCTTGGATCGGGGCTGGGCCTCCTCGACCTAGAACCCCAGTTTTCCAGTAGCCTGGTAGTCACACTCACAAACTGCCCCCAGCAGTAATCTCATCAACGAACAAGATTCAGAGACTATAAACCAAAGCCCCCGGAAGAGAGCGATGCATTATTTCCTGGAGTGCAAGGCCTCTCACATTCTAGCCCACTGATATATCATCCCTCCCGCATGGCAGAGCCTGGCAAGCTACCCGTGGCGTATTTGATATGCCAAAAACAGTAACAATAACGGGTCTCATTCCCCTGACCCTGAAAGAGCCTCTAATACAGCCGTTGGGAAAGATGAGTAAGGAGAGGCTGCTAAAATCTCAGGGCTGGGACGAATGGAGATGGGTTACTGGCGTGCCCGCTTGAGCAAATCAGTGATCAACGGGACGATAGTGCTACAGTGCAGTGATGTCCTGTATTTAGAAAACACTAAAGACTGTAGACAAAAACTAGAAACAATCTGGCCTAAAGTGGCAGGCTACAGAATCAACATAATAGAAATCAGTAGCATTTCTAAATGCAAATAATAAAGACTGACCTATATTGAAGTCACTGTTCCTTTTTTTTGGTATTGTCCAAATTGCTGCAGATCTCATCCAGCTAACTTCTACCAAGATACAAATTTTTTTTCTCTTGTCATCGATAATGACTGAATTTGTACCTGTAATTATACCTATACTTATTATTCTTGGGGTTCTTAGGAGTCTCACCCTCAAATGTTACTTAGATTTGAATGTAAAAGAGTTGACGCAGGTACATGAAGATTTTGAGAACTTCCTAGTTTCTAGGATTTCCCAACTGGAAATTTATAGCACTCCTATCTCATCCTTCAGCCCAGTAGGCTACTTTTCCGCTTGAAGTTGCCCCCTCCACACCTATGAATGGAAACAGCTCTCAGATGATGGCTAAATGTAAATCTTGAAAAGATTCTGCTTATGTTCTTTCAGTGATTATCTATCTTCTGTTTCCACATCTGATGACTCTGGGTTTGCCTTAAATACATTTATTCCCTGTATGTTGTTGGGGACAGGATATCAAACTGCTCAGGGGGACCAGGGAGCCATTTCTGGTGATACTCAGCTAAGCAGGCTCAATTCCATGACCTGAAGGTGTGACACTCCTCGGGCCAAGTGAAGCTGGAAACCAATAGGATTATACCCGGTAGTGTTCAGGGGGCATGCAAGGGGTTGAACCTCTGGGCTATTGTGTATACAAGGAATGCGCTTCAGCCGCATGAGCTCTCTTTCTGACCCTATGCCTCAAATACATTTAAAATTGTGTTGAGGGTCTCTATTTGTTACTGTCAGAAAAGTTGTATATAAGCTATTGTGCCATTATATTGAAATGAAAAATAAAAAGTTAGTTTAAAAACATTTTTAGAGAGTTATCAATAGTACAGCAGATACCTGGGTTTGATCTCTGGCAACAAAATGGTCCTTTGATCGCATCAGAACTAATCCTGAGTTCAGAGCCAGGACTAAGTCCTGAGTCCCACCAGGTGTGTCCCAAAAACAAAAGTAAAGAAAATTTTTAATATGTGAGAGACCAGGACATCAATAATTATTAAAATTACAGTTGTTTACTAATGCAAATATTATTAATTTAAAATAGTACTTATTACTGATACTATATTTGTATAATTTCTTTCAGTAAAATGCTGCCAAATACATATGTGATTTTTTTCCTTTTGCAGGATATTACAAATGAGGAGCACAGAAAAATTGAAGCATTAAAATCAGAAAACAAGAAGCTAGAAAAACAAAAAGGAGAGTTAATGATAGGATTTAAAAAACAATTAAAATTAATTGATATTTTAAAAAGGCAGAAGGTGAGTGCCTATCCTAGAAAACACTGAGTTAAATTACAAATACCTGAACGCTATTAAAAATATGTAGTATTACTATTTATTATGTATAAGTTTTAGATTGTGTGAACTAAACAAATGGATATTTTGATTAGTAATATGGAAAGTACTTAGAGTAACTACAGAAAGGAGCAAGTAAAAGAATAACTATAACCTTAGAAGATGGAAAGGTTTTACTGAAATCTTAAAAGAAAAAATAATCCTGAAGCACTATTGTTCCCAACTTCTCTACCAATCACTCACCTAGTGGTAAGATTTGAATTCATGATTTTGCCATTTTCCCATTTACAAAGGTTATTTACAGTATCTTTGCTTTCTCAACAGAAGTTGGTTTTATACTACATTGAACAAATATGCTTTTATTGATTGGACCATGAATGTAATTAACATTTAAAACACCTTGTATATTGGAATTAGAGTACACATTCTTACAATTTGATTTTTTAAAATACAGATGCATATTGAAGCTGCTAAGATGTTGTCCTTCACTGAAGAGGAATTTATGAAGGCACTTGAATGGGAAAATTCATAAATTGTATACTTTAGTCCTTATACAGCGTATGGTAGATATTTTTCTAAATTTAAGTTATAATGGTTAGAATTATTTTTGTTCTCTGTAAATATTAAAGGCATTTGATAATGAATCTAGATTAGAGGATTATAAAATTTATGTAGTTATTAGGAAAAAACAAAACAATAGGAATTTAACTTTTGATTGTCTTTTTTGACAGAATAGTAATATAATAATTTGACAGGAAATTTTTGTTGCTGTTGATAATATGTGCATTAGGTAATAAAGTGCTTTGAAAGTCCTTATTCTTCTCTCCATTATCTGTAGATAGTAAATTTTTGTTGCTGTATGTTTTTGGTTTCGGTTTTTGGACCACACTCAGTGGTGCTCAGGGTTTACTCCTGTCTCTGCACTCAGGGATAACTCCTGGCATAGCTCAGGGGATCATGTGCAGTACAGGGGTTTGCTGTGTGTAGGCAAATGTCCTACCTGTTTTTACTACCTACTAAACTATGACCCCAAAAGTAGATGTTTTAAACTCAGATTCTAAGTACTTTTATTTCCCTGGTGAAATCAGTCAATTAAGTTCATAGAAATTGTAGCCTTAAGTGAAATGTCATGGTAAAAAAATACTCTTCTTACATACAAATGGCCAACAGCCATATGTAAAATATCTTGTCTTTTATATTAGGGAAATAAAACAACAATGAGTTATCACCTCATGACTGTGAGAATGATATATCAGAAAGTTGTAAATAGCCAGCGCGGGCAGGGTTTCGGTAAGAAAGTAACCTTATCTACTGTTGGTGGGAGTGTCAATCTGGTCAGCCTTTGTAGAAAGCAACACGGAGAGCCATCCAAAAAAATAGGAAGAAAATGATCCAGCTTCTTGGCATCCCCAAAAACAGAAAAATATTAATTCAAAAATAAAAATGCACACCTATGTTCCTCACCTCACTTAAGCACAGCAGCTAAGATAGGATAGCAACTCAAAGGCCCAATTATGGATGAATGGGCCAAGAAGCTGTGGTACCAGCTGGACTCCAGAAACTGATATGTTGAAAAACTCAGGTCTGGGGCTTTTGTGACTGAAATCTCCAGGCTCTCATGGAGTTGGGAATGGGCTATCGCCCTGCTCTCCCTGTTTTTCCAGAAGCCTGGCAGTCACACCCATGAACGGCCACTGGCACCAAATAAGCTCATTAACAGGCCATGATCCAGAGATTCATAAATAAATCTCGAAAGATATCAACAAGTTACAGAGATGCTTCCAGACCCTGTGCCAGGCTCCGTCGTCTGGGGAACCCAAGGTCACCATCCAGTTAACAATTTAACTCCTGCTGTTTTGTTTTACCCCATTCAAATTTTTTGAATTCCTGGAGTGTACTTCCGGCCATGAGACATCTCAAACTCTACTCCACTGATAAACCAGGAGTAGCACACCACACAGGATGGGGATGTAAATTAAATGCCAATCTTAAGAAAATATAAACAAGCAATCTTAATTAAGAAAATATAAACACACAGGCTTAACCTGTAACAACATGTTAGTAATCTCTTCCACAAGGGCTTAATGGCTCCATGGTGAGATACAATATTCACACCCCTTCTTCTGATGAAATATTTTTGATCATTTTTAGCATATTATAATAAGCAATATAAAATAAATTATTCAGGGCCTTTTATAGGGGCAGGCTTTGAGAGGTGGTTGGAAAAATTGGAAATAAAGACAATTGGAAGATGCACTGGTGGTGGGACTGGTGTTGGTGTATTGAATGTAATAAATCATGAACAACTTAAAACTAATTTTCTGAGAAAAAATAAAGCTGAAAGCTGAAAAAAAATGTGGTATATATACACAGTGTAATACTCCACAGATCTATCACACTGAGCAAGGTCAGTCATAAGGAACGGGACAGCTACAGAATGATCTCTCACACGTGGGACGTAAAGATACACATCAAGGTAGCAACAAGAACCAAAGGGAACACAACAGGAGAACTGACATGGACAATTGTGTTGCAGAATAGGGCAGAGTGGAGGGGTGATGGTGTCCTTGTGGGAGGGAGACAGGCACACTGGTGATGGGTTTGGTGTTGCAATTATGTCTGTGAGAAATCATTATTAATAGTATTTTTAGCCAGAAAAAAAGGCAACATAATGAGGAAACTGATCTACACAATTGTGCATGTGTGTGGGTGTGCAGTAGAAGGTGGATATTGAAATGGTGGGGCGTTGAGTCCTTGAGAGAGGAAGTAGGAAAACTGGTGAAGGGTGTGGTGTTTGAATTATATGCATGAGAAACCATTACGTTATTGTAAACTACAGAATCTCAGTAAATTGAAAAAAAATCTTTTTAAACACTTCACGAGAAATGAGGAACTCTGAACTGTAAGATAATATGGAAATATTGGTTTGGCCTAAAACATTTTTTATTTATTTATGTATTATTATAATGTGGTGGTGAATAAATCAGATTTTCTCAATCTTAACTTGTTTAATTTTTCCAGTTAACATGTTTAATTTTTTTTTATCAGAAAACAGTATTTTTTACAAGTCATAAAGATCTATCTTAAAAATTCCAGATAAAAAGTCCAGAGACAATGGATCCTACTATCAAGGATATAAAATAAAAGTTACACTGACATCTAGTGGTAACATACAAAATATTTCAGGTTTTACCAAATCTTAATGTTATTTCTCTTCGGTAACTTCACTCCTTTTCTGATACGCTTTTCTAAACTCTTCACCGAGCATATTAATATCATCCTCTTTTTTAAATACTCCCTAGAAGAAAAATATTTTGAATGTCAATATATTTCACTAAATGGCTATATACGAATAAATCCATAGACATGTAATTTGTGATAATAAATCTACTTCAAATGGGGGAATGATGTTTTCAAGAATGATGACTCGATAGAATAGAGATCAACAGATATAGCTAGATAACTCAAGTAGTTGGAATCTGACCTTTACTGCTGTAAGAACTGCTGCTTGAATTGGGTAAGTGGGAAGAACTTTCCAAACTATCAAGTCTTTGTCCTGAAACAGCTCTCTCTACTTTACATGAAGCAAAGTCCAGATCAAGCAAGAGACTCCTGGCTATTACCTCAGTTACATGTACAGTCAGCAAACATTCAATCTTACGTGAAAGAATACCGATTTAAACAATCCTTTATATATCTGTTTACCCTTTCTGTGTATAGTCCTGTTCTGTCCTGTCCTCCTGTTGTTCATCGATTTGCTCGAGCGGGCACCAGTAACGTCTCCATTGTGAGACTTGTTACTGTGTTTGGCATATTGAATATGTCACGGGTAGCTTGCCGGGCTTTGCCGTGCAGGCGAGATACTCTTGGTAGTTTGCCGGGCTCTCCGAGAGGGGCGGAGGAATCGAACCCGGGTCAGATGGGTGCAAGGCAAATGCCCTACCCACTGTGCTATCGCTCCAGCCCTTTTGTGTATAGTAAAAGAATTTATTTATTTATTCACCTTGTAATCTAAAGGATTGAGAAGAATAATTTAGGTCATTTAGAGTCATTGGAACTCATTTTGGAATATCAAGTAATTTATTAGCCTTTCCCCTAGCTCCACAATTATTTCCTTATAAAAATAAGCCAAGACTCTCCCAGAGATAGATATTTTTGAACTTTATCTGAATTAAGGATAGCAATACATCTTTTCATGCTCATTCATCTGGTCTAACCATGTAGACCAAGAAACTGTGGACTGGAAAATTTATTCTCAAGTTCCTTTTTTCCTTAATACCGGACTATATACCAAATGTGTACTTTATTCAATTACTGTACTTGAAAAATGGATATCTTATTTACAGGAGTCCAAGATACCCAAATCTAAATTCATATAGTCACACCATCTCAAATAGATATAGACACCTGGTTATTGGCTACTTCCTACAAGTGTTTTCAGAGCATATTTCCTAGCATATGTATACATATATTTCTATCTATCTATCACCTCTTGTTATAAATTCAGATGTCTCTGACTCAATTTTTTTCAGATACTTTCTATACAGAGTATCACAATTGCTTTAGGTTATCTTAGTTTTACACCTCCTACACTGAAAGGGAGGAGAGAAAATTATCTCTAAAATTTAAATTTAAAAACCTGTAGCTCTACTCTAAGACTGTGCTAAGATCAAATCTTTTATTTTGAGGTGATTGATCAAAATCCCATGCTCTGCTCTAGGAGAAAGAAGATGTGAAACCCAGGACCTTGGAAATCCTGACACTGTTTTTTTTTTTTTTTTAACCACTAGTAGAAGTCTCAAAGATTAAATCTCACTTACTTTAGGTAGATATCCAAGTAATTTAGCAGCATGTTCTTTGAGAAGTTTTTGTCTTTCCTCTTCAATTATTTCATTAATACATCCTTGTCTTCTTTGCTGAAGCTCCCATTCTTCTATATCACGTTGCTGTAAATGTATTTAAAATTGTAGTGTCACAGATCAATGATATTTTAATTTTTTTAAGTAATACAAATAACGTGGGTCTTGCTGAAGGTTTTTGTATAATTACTTTTTTCCCACAATGGTTGAATATTTTAAATGTCCTTACATTTTGTCTGCACACAAAATTTTTCATGGGACATTACCTTTTCCTGTATTTTTATTGATATGATATAGATTACTTCCTCTTTTTTTTTTTTTTTTTTGCGTTTTTGGTCCATACCCGATGATGTTCAGGGTTATTCCTGACTCTGCACTCAGGAATCACTCCTGGTAGTGCTCAGGGGAGCATGAGATTCTGGAGATCGAACCTGGGTTGGCCACATGCAAGGCAAACACGCTGTACTGTCTTTCTCCCCACGGTCACATTTTTATAAGCAAATTATTTTCTAATTATTTACTACGTAGAATTTTGCACTGTTTTTTTTTAAATTCAGTGTTAATTTTTAAGCACTGTAGTATGGTCCTCCTGTTGTTCATTGATTTGCTCGAGCAGGCACCAGTAACGTCTCTATTGTGAGACTTGTTGTTACTGTTTTTAGCATATAGAGTACTCCACGGGAGCTTGCCAGGCTCTGCTGTGCAGGCGGGATATTCTCGGTAGCTTGCTGGGCTCTCCGAGAAGGGCAGAGGAATCGAATTTGGGTTGGCCGTGCGCAAGGCAAACGCCCTATGCATTGTGCTATCACTCCCTTCTAAAATAAAACTTTTAAAATAAATTTAAAAAACAAAATACATTGTCACAAAATACATTAATCTTTCAAGAAGTGGTCATACAAAACTGTTCTTGCAGCAAGTTCAGCAAGATGCTAAATTTCACTCATTTTCTCTCAACAGGGACCCCAGGGCCATGGGGATAGGAATACCAGGGTGACCTTGTTCCGTGTGCCCCCTTGCTTTTCCTGGGAGCATATTCCTAAGCCACTGAACCATTTTCTCTGCCCTTCTCACTAGGAATACCTCACAGCAGGGCTGTCAGGGTTCCCTCGGTGCTTTTTAGGCAGCACTGGGGTTTGAACACAAGACCTTGTGCTTCTGCTACTGAGTCAGTCATCTTCCAGCCAGAAACTAAAGACAGTGAATTTTAGAGAAACTGTTGATATGTTCAAAAGATAATAGTTTAAGTGTGTATGTGCATATATAATTATATATTTATCATTTTTAGTCACCAAAGTTGCAAAAACAATAGCTATATAATTGGGATTTCAAGGAGGCAAGTTCTAAGTTCAAATAAGTTATTTTTTAATTCGACAAACATTTATTAAATGCTTACTATACATAACAGGTACTGAAGACAGTTTACAGTAGATAAAATGGAGGTTCTAAATATTTGCATAAATATTAGTATTTTAAAGGTCTATTTGAAGCACAAGATAATCAAAACCAACCCAACAACACTTGTTCTTACTTTGTCAATAAGGAACTGGTTGCGACGCTCTTCAATTAGCTTTTCCACGGCCCTCTTGTGTTCCAATTGCTTCATTCTTTGTTTCTGGGCATTCATTAATTCTATTCGATCATCCTCAGCAAATTTGGCAAGCATAGCTTTTCTAAAGATCTCTTCTTCCTCTTTTGTAGCCTGGAGTACTAGTTCCTTCAAGGCTATTTGTTCTATAATATCTTGCTTCAACTCCTTTTGCTTTCTTAGTTTCTCCTCTGCTTCTTCCTAAATAGCACATATAAAGTTCATTCCATCACTTTCTTCACAGCAGGCTTACAAAGAACTGTCGACAGAATTTCTTTAGGTTTACTTTTACATTATGAAATTACACTAACAAATGAAGTTTTTCTTTTTTTTTTTCTAGATAACACTAGAATGTGTTATCTAGAAAAGGCTTCCAAAAAATGTGGCATATCCATACTATTAGCTAAAAAAAAGAGGAATGAACTATTAGATACAATAAATGAAATGAATCTTGAAAAAAATTATGTTACTTTAAAAGCTCTAGACACAGAAGTTAACATTTGTATAACCCTACTTATATGAGATATCAAAAAAAATTGCCAAGTCATAAAGATAGAAGCACATCAGTAGTTGCCAAGAATTAGAGGAGGAGAAGATAGGGGCAAGGCATCCTTTTGGCATCATGAAAATGTTTTATGACAGAGGTGATGACTGTACATTAAGAATATGCTAAATATTGCTGAATTATGTGCTTTAAAATTTTAAATCAAATATATAAATTTTATCTCAATTAAAAAAATCTTTCATGTTCAAGATTTAACTGTACAATGATCGAACACCCATCTCTCCACAGTGCACTTTTCACCACTTCATGTTTTAGATGCAACTAAAACATGAACAAGAAAAATTTCTAGCACTAACTGTGAAAAAACGCACTAATAGCAATAAATGCAAATATGCAGGAAATGACTCAATCAAAACCTGCAGCTCCTATTTGTGAGGGTGTATACAAAGAGAAGCAGAATAAATCCAAAACAAGAAGGAAGAAAAAGTGAAGAGCAGAAACCTATAAAGTTGAAAATAGATAGGATTCCTATAATCTCCCAAGTCTGAATCAAGAAGATCTAGAGTACCTGAATAACCTATTAACATCAAGGAAATTGAAACTGTAGTCTTTTGTCTTCCCAAAAACAAAAGCCCAGGTCCAGATGGATTCACTAGCGAATTTTTCCAAACATTAAAAGAGGACCTATTGCCAGTTCTTCTCAAGCTTTTCCAGGACATTGAAGAAACAGAAACTGTCCCAATAGTTTCTATGAAGCCCATATCTCTCTAATACCAAAGGAAACAAAGACACCACAAGAAAAGAAAACTGCAGTCCAAATATCCCTGATGAACACAGATACGAAGATTCTCAACAAAATACTAGCAAATAGAATTCAACAACTCATCAAAAAGATCATACACCATGACCAAGTGGGATTCATCCTGGGGATGCAAGGATGGTTTAACATTTGGAAATCAATCAACATAGTCCATCATACCAACAAAAGAAAAGATAAAAACTAAATGATCATATCGTTAGATGCAGAGAAAGCATTTGACAAGATCCAGCACCCATTTATGATGAAAACCCTCGCCAAAATGGGGATAGAGGGGAGTTTCTGCAATATAGTTAAAGCCATCTACCACAAGCCTACAGAAAGCATCATCCTCAATGGGGAAAAACTGAGAGCCTTCCCTCTAAGGTCAGGGATGAGACAGAGATGCCCACTCTCCCCACTGCTGTTCAGTATAGTACTGGAAGTACTTGCAATAGCGGTTAGGCAAGAAAAAGATTAAGGGCATTCAGGTAGGAAAGTAAGAAATCAGGCTCTCACTATTCGCAGATGATATGATACTATATTTAGAGAACCCTAAAACCTCTACCAAGAAACTCCTAGAAACAATAGACTTGTATAGTGTCGGGAGCCAAAATTGTCAGTACAGCCTGACCTGCGATTTAAGACTAATCTCTTCTTGGAAAAATGTTAAAATACATTGTGTAAGTTTCTGAGCTATGCCCGGGATAAGTGCCATGAGCCCACCACTAGGGCTCACACCATGATTTATTGAAAATCTGCATGCTTTGTTAATTTCCTATTTTGCCCACTTCCTCATGTAATCAATTATAAAAGGCTAGCTTGGGAGAAATAAAGTTGGAACTTGATCAGAGTCTTGTCTTGCTCCCATTCTTCTCTCTCTCTCTCTCTCTCTCTCTCTCTCTCTCTCTCTCTCTCTCTCTCTCCTCTCTCTCTCCCACTCGCGCACCCTCTCCCAGTTATCCACATTTGACTAGTCCTATGGGTTGGGGCAGTATAGTAAAGTTGCAGGCTATAAAATCAATACCCAAAAGTCCATGGCTTTCCTATACGCAAACAGTGAGAGAGAAGAAAGTGACATGAAAAAAACAATCCCATTCACAATTGTGACCCAGAAAAATCAAGTACCTAGGAATCAGCTTAACTAAGGAAGTAAAAGACCTGTACAAAGAAAACTACAAAACGCTAATACAGGAAATAAAAGAAGACACGAGAAAATGGAAAGATATCCCCTGCTCATGGATTGGGAAATTAACATTATCAAAATGGCAATACTTTCCAAAGCATTGTACAAATTCAATGCGATCCCTGTAATGATATCCATGACATTCTTCAAAGAAATGGAGCAAAAACTCCTGAAATTCATATGGAACAATAAACCCCCACAAATAGCTAAAGCAATTCTTGGGAAAAAGAAAATGGGAGGAATCAACCTCCCTAACTTCAAACTCTACTACAAAGCAGTAATAATTAAAACAGCGTGGTACTGGAACAAAAGCAGAACTGCAGACCAATGGAACAGGGTTGAATACACTGACATCTCCCCTCAATCATGTGATCATCTAATCTTTGATAAAGGAGCAAGAAATAGGTAGTGGAATAAGGAAAGCCTTTTTAACAAATTGTGCTGGCAAAACTGGACGGCAACATGCAGAAAAATGGGCTCAGATCTCTGCCTAACACCATGTGCAAAAGCCAGATCAAAATGGATTAAAGACCTCAACATCAGACCAGAATCCATAAGGTACATTGAAGACAAAGTTGGCAAAACCCTCCATGGTATTGAAGCTAACGGTATCTTCAAAGATATCACGCCACTGGCCGAGCAAGTGAAAATAGAGATAGACATATGGGACTATCTTAAACTAAGAAGCTTGTGCACCTCAAAAGAAACAATGACCAAAATACAAAGACAGTCTACAGAATGGGAAAGGATATTCGCCCAATACACATCTGACAAGGGGTTGATATCAAGAATATATAAAGTACTGGTTGAACACAAGAAGAAAACATCCAACCCCATCCAAAAATGGGGCGATGAAATGAACAGAAACTTTGTCAAAGAAGAAATTCGAATGACTAAAAGGCACATGAGAAAATGCTCTACATCATTAATCATCAGGGTTCAAAAACCACAATGAGATATCATCTCACACCACAGAGACTGGCCCACATCCAAAAGAACAAAGGCAACCGGTGTTGGTGTGGATGTGGTAAGAAAGGGACCTTCCTTCACTGCTCGTGGGAATGCTGACTGGTTCAGCCCTTTTGGAAAATAGTATGGATGATTCTCAAAAAATTAGAAATTGAGCTCCCATTTGACCCAGCAATACCAGTCCTGGGAATATATCCCAGAGAGGCAAAAAAGTATAGTCAAAGTGACATCTGCACTTGTTTGTTCATTGCAGCACTATTTACAATAGTCAAAATCTGAAAAAAACCTGAGTGCCTGAGAACAGATGACTGGTTAAAGAAACTTTGGTACATCTACACAATGGAGTACTATGTAGCTGTTAGAAAGGATGAAGTCATGAAGTTTACATACAAGTGATACTACATGTAAAGTATCATGCTAAGTGAAATGAGTCAGAAAGAGAGGGACAGACATAGAAAGATTGCATTCATCTGGGGGACATAAAGAAACAAAATAGGAGACTAACACCCAAAAATAGCCGAGGTAAGTACCAGAAGGTTTACTCCATGGCTTGGAGGCCAGCCGCACACACTGAGGTTAAAAGTCAGCTCAGATAGAGAAGGGAACAGTGTGAAGAAACTTCATACTGCTTACATAGCAGCTGTATTGATTCACATTCCCCACAGCAGTGCACTCCTGCGTTTCCCTTTCCCCATATCCTTACCTCCACTAGTTTTCTGTCTTTTTAACAATATTCATTCAGTATGGAGTTTCTTCACACTGAAAATAAACTACCATATCATGTAGAAAACCCACCTCTGGGTACATATATTCAAAGAAAATGAGAACAGAATATTAAAAGAAGGGAACCCTGCCATCTGCGACAACTCAGATGAATGTTGATTTTTTTTTTTGTCTTTTGTCTTTTGGGATTACACCTGGTGATGCTCAGATACTCCTGGCTCTGCACTCCAGGAATTACTCCTGGTGGTGCTAGGGGGACCATATGGTATGCAGGGGACCAAACCTGGGTCAGGGTGTGCAAGGCCAACACCCTACCCTATCCCTCCAGCCCCCACAGCTGAATCTTAAGGGAATTACGGCATGTGAAAATAAGCCAGAAGAGAGGACAAATGAGGCCTGGTAATACTCGCATATTGAAATCTTAAGAAACAAAGTCAAGTTCATAGAAACATAATAGAAAAGTGGTTGCCAAAGCATGGTAGAGGTGAAGAGCTTGAAATAGGGAGAGGCCAGTATAAAAGGCACAAACTTTACAATGAAGGAGGTCTGGGGAACCAAAGTTAAAATATGGCAACAGGAGTTGTAGAACTGAAATTTGCTAAGAGAATATGACGTCATAGTTCTTACCAAAAAATGTAAGGTGATAGACATGTTAATTATATGTGGAGAATTGCTTCACGATGTATACTTTAGATGTCTAATAATTTTATATCAAATATATTAAGAAAACTGCACTGTCCTCCCGTTGTTCATCGATTTGCTCAAGCGGGCCCAGTAACGTCTCCATTGTGAGGCTTGTTGTTACTGTGTTTGGCAGATCGAATACCGTGTGGGCAAGATACTCTGGGTAGCTTGCATGTTTAGATGTTGACTCACCCACTGGTTCTGTTCTACCAATTCCTGACAAAATCTCCACGGAGCTGCACACCAAGCAGCAAAGATTCATAGATACACTGTCCCACTGGCTGAAAACTCAGGGGCACCTTCAGGAAGTAGGTAAACACAGTAGCTACCTGGCAGAAATGCCAGCAGCTACACACATACCCCACCACTGCAGACACTCTCAAGGCTCAATTTCACTGCTTCATGAATACTCTCTGGAGAGATGCCAAACTGAATAATTTCTGGTACCTGGTGACCAGGCTGAGAACTCTGGTGTCTCTCAGAGTTGGGGGTAGTAGAGGGCAGCTTCCTCCTTTTCCTACACCTCCACTTTCTGAAGCTCCAGGAGTCCACCTCTCACAACCGCCATGTCAACTCATTGACCCAGACACTCTTGGTGACTGCAGGGTGCTGGAGATTGTACCATATGGGGTGCTGGGGATCAAATCAGGGTCTGCCCCATGTAAGGCAAGTTCCCTACCTATGTACTATGTTCCAGCCCCCTTACACATGTAACATTAAAATGGATCACTTCCTTGAAAAATGCAAACCACCAAAACCCAGATAATAAGACAAATATAATTCTAATGGTTCTGTGACTATTATTGCTCAGAAGATATCAACGGAGGCACCCACCCAATGAGTCTACTCCATGTGGACTCACCCACTGTCCCGGCCCCACCAAAGCCTGACTAATCTCCCAGGAGATGTGCTGAGCCACTAACTGAAATGGCCAGCCCCGCTGATGAAAACACAAAAGCACCAATGGGGGGCAGGGGCAAATACCCGCCCAACCAGGGCTCCGGCAGCAGCACCCACACCTGCCTCTACAGCTACACCAAGGGCTCGGCTCTACCGCCCCGTGAATGTTCTCTGCTGAGACACCAGTTTCCAAATAATCTCAGGTAACTGCGCCCAGGCTGAGAACTCGGGATTTTCTCTCCCCCAAGTCCCATACTTCCAGAAGCACCAGAAGTCCCACTCACAACCCTCGCCTCCTGCTTGTCCACTCTTTCACCCAGACCATAGATCCGGTATTGTCTGGACACCTTTTGAAGCAACAAACAGCTGCTTCAAAAGGTTGGTGTCTATTCTCATCACTCTCATTTAAAATAGCACTATCAAAAATAAATAAATAAATAAATAAAATAGCACTATCCAGGGATATAAAATTTAGCCACGCAATAAGGCAAGAAAAAGTCAAGGAAAAGTCAATTATACATACTTAAAAGGCAAGAAATAAAACTGTCCCTATTTGTAGAGAACATTACTAAGGGAAAAAGAACAAACCCATCTTTTACAGCTACTAAGTGAATTCATCAATGTTTATCATATAAGATCAATATTAAGGCAATTCATTAACAATGATTATATGGACATGAAAATTAAAACTTAAACTCCACTTATAATTGATATAAAGCACTTAAATGTAATTAACAAAATATATATTTGTATGCTTAAACTATAAAGCAAGGATGAAAATGTTCAGGTGATCTATTAAATGAGTGCAGTCCTACTGGGTGTACAGAACAGCCTGTATCAATTCCTGCACAGAGCTGACCCTAGTTCAATCCCTGGCACTGCATGGTCTCCTTGAGCACAGAGCTAGGAGGAGGCCCCAGTAGTCACTGGGTGTGGCCCAAGCATCCCCTAATAGTCAATTCTTTTCAAATTGATATTCAAATATAGCGATTCTTATTAAAGTCCCAGAAGCCTACTTGTAGATAGACAAGAAACTAAAATTTATATGAAAAAGGCAAAGGAACTAGAATAGCTCAAATAATTTTGAAGAATTTTTATACAGCTGCAGTAATCAGATCTATGTGGTGTGGTGGAGAGACACACACAGACCAACAGAAGTACGATTCCATAACAGCCCATACCAATATGCTCAACTGTGCTTAATAAAGGTATAAATCATCTTGAGTTGAGGTTAGTTTTATTTGTACTGTCATTCAATAGCTACCTGTGATTTTTTTCCCTACTACGTATACAACTATAACAAGGAGTAGTGAAATAGTCAACAATAGTTAACAACTATTTGCTGCTCTTTTTGATTTTGCCTCATGTACTTGGAGCTTCTTTCAGGTTTATAGATCCTGAGGACTCATATCCTTTAGGTAATTTACCTTATTATCTTATGGTCATATCAATTTGGTTTTTCTCAGTGTAGAGCATATATAAATCTCCATTCTATTGCTTCTAAATTGCACATGTCTTCATATTTAAATTGTGTTTCTTGTAGACAGTAAAATCACATTATGCTGTTTGTTTTGCTTTGCTTTGCTTTGGGGTCATACCCAGCAATGGGTGGGGATTACTCCTGGCTCTGGCAGTTCTTGATACAAGGCAAACACCCTATCCACTGGACTACCGTTCTGGCTCCTGTGCATCATGTTTTTGTGCAGTTTGAGAAAAAATTGCAACTAGCTTTTGAATCCAGCTTGAAAACTTATGCATTTAGCTGTTAAGTCCAGCTTCTCTTTTCATTGTTTCTAACTCTCAATATAATTGGGTCTACATCTATTGTTGATCCGTTATCCCATCTCAAATGATACTATTTTCTACTAATCATCTTTCAATCTCCAAAACTTACTTTAAGTTTCCTCTCACTGGCTGCAGTTTGTTCTTCCAGGTATAATTCTTGTCGCACTTGTTCCAAATCATCACGCTGTCGCATCTTTTCCTCTAATTTCTGGGCGAGCTATTGATTCAAACACAAACAACATTTATAGGAGCCAAATTCTATTACAAATAATTCCCCTCAAATTTTTGGATTACTTTACTACCATAGTTTGAAGTTGTTGCCTTTTTTCTTCATTTTCTAGAGCTTTTGACATTCGCTTTTCTTCTCTTTGTTGTTGCATCTGGGCAAACTCCATGATTTTTCTGTTTTCATCTTCCATCTCCTCATGTTTCTTTCTTCTCCAGAGAGCCTGCTCTTTCTTAAACTCTTCAATATACTTCCGAGTGATATTCATTTTTTCCAACCTTTGCTGTCTTTCCCTAAAAGTAATCGAGCAGTTTCATAGTAGCAAAAAATATATATTTTTTAAATGTACCAAATCCTTCAGTTACGATGAGCGGGGGACGGCTTTTTCCTACCTACAGCTCATTCATTCATACAATAAACTATATAACTAAATATAATGACACCTATGAATTTTCTAAGCAAAATACTGCTCCACTTTTTTCTAACTTATTGATATTTCATGGATCTATTTCAGAAGCCTACAACAGGCTAGTCTCAGAAGAAAGTAATCATAAAACAAACTCCGTTATATGATGTGAGCACATTTAAGAAAACCAAAAGTTTTCAGTCACCTAGGTTATATATATTATTTATCAGATATGTATCTGCTAAGGTAAATAAGAATTGTTCAACATGGTAACCTTTCAGTACCTGTATTGCAAGCCATATGACGAGAGAGAGAGAGAGAGAGAGAGAGAGAGAGAGAGAGAGAGAGAGAGAGAGAGAAGCAAAGTGCCTGCCATAGAGACAGGCTCCCCAGGAGTGAGGAGGTGGGAGGGAAACTGGGAACATTGGGGGTGGGAAATGTACACTGGTAAAGGGACAGGTGTTGGAACATTGAATGACTGAAACCCAATCATAAACAACTTTGTAACTATCTCACCATGATTCAATGAAAAGTTAGAAATAAAAAAGAATTCTTCCCAGTTTATATTATCATAACATTTACTGATGACTAACGATGAATTAGGCACTGTTCAGGTACTTTTTCACAATATGCCTAAAATCAACCTAATATAAAAGTTTACACATGTAAGAAAATTGGGATAAACTTACATTTGATCTTCTTCATAGATTTTTCTAACAATTTCATCAATCATGAGTTTCTCTTGCAGCAACTGCTTATAAGCTTCCTGCTTTTTCAGTTCTTGCTCTTCAAGTTGTTTCTCTAGGTCAAGAGAATATTGTGCTTTCACTTGATTTCTTTTGTCCTCAGCAGCATTTTCCTCCTTTGTTAATCTCTCATGTTCTTCCTTCATGGTTCTGGCTATTTCAGCATCACGTTTCTGTTATTGAAACAAAATCATCTTTCCACTTTAAGATCTGAGCATATATGATAGAATATTTTATGATGCAACTGAATATTATAAATCCTGTTACATAAAATTTTTCATATGTCTAGGTCAAAGCAGAGCTTCATTTGAAAGGTTCAAGTGACAAGTCAAATCCTAAAGATGCTTTTCTATCCCTTCCTTACTCTCTTTCTCTCTCTCTCTCTCTCCCCCTCCCTCTCTTTGAACAATATATGAAAAGAATAGTTAATAAATTCTAATCAATATTGGATTATTTATTTTACACTAAATTTGTATTTGAAAAACATTAAGTAAAATTAGAAATAATTTATTGTAACATCTGTGTTTCCTGCCAAAAGAGTAGTCATCCTTTTCCTATACTTAATAGTTGATAGCTGATGGAGACAATTTGCACAATATTTAGCTGCATGGATTACCAATGTTACTAAAAGACAGTACTAGTTTTGGGGGTTGTATTTTATTTTTAGATTCTGCTATTATATAGTTCTGAACAGTTCTTAAATTTCTACTGCTGGTGGAAGTTCATTCCAAAAATCTTCCCTTTCTCATTTATTAAAGGCTCTTTATAATCTGTTTAAGCTGAAAGGGTCACACTTATTTCCGTGTGTATTTGCTACAGATTTCAATTAAACTCCATTTTCCTCTGAGTTGAGACGAGCTTGCTTTTTGAATGGCTTAAGTACATCATTTACTTCAAATGCTTTAAAGTTTAACTCAATAAAATTGAACATCATTTAACAAAATAAAATTGAAGTAAATTGGGACAATTAGGAAACTCTCCCTTTAGCATTATGATTACATCTTCAAATCTAGAATATTTAGTGTAATCAAATATTAAAAAGATTAGAATATGAGTACTAAATTTATGAATAACAATCACGATCTTAGTGATTCTATAAACATATGTTAATGTGACTTCACAAAAAAACTTTCTTTGCTTCTGTTTTATTAGCATGCTATAATAAGTTATTTAGAAAAATTAAAATGACAAGAACATCAGTTACAGATGACCTCAAATTTACGAAAATTAAGTATGCTCTTATGTCTATGCTAAAAAAACTAGGTCTCAGAGAGACAGAACCCAAATTACCACCGACATATTCTGACATCTAGTCAAGTCCTAGGAGCGTTTGACTTTTTTTGTATCAATTTTAATAGAAAATAGTGGAAATTATTTCAGGAGTTGTATTAAGACATCTTGAATTCCTTTAATAATCTTAATTATCAGGATAATTAAAATGGAAAACTATTGGTCAAATAGTACACTGTTTATATCCTATCTTAAATTTTGAAAAAGTGGAACCACACTATGTGGGTTCAAGAAATGAAGTCCTTAACCCTTTTCTATCACCTGCCTCACCAAAAAAAGAATTTCACTATTAAAAGTATATTGCATAATCCCCAAGACTTGTGCACACACAAACATGCATGTGCACACATACATACACCATTTACTCTTATGTAATACTTTTATTGCACTGCACTTGTTAAAGTATTTTGTCATCATCATCTAATTGTATGCATCATCTGATTGTATGTGTACAATTAGATCACCATGTATACAGAAAATGTATGTGTGTATATATGCATGTTGATATAGACAGACACACATGTAGGTTTTATTTTGTTTTAGGGACATACTTGACAGTAATTAGGGCTCACTCCTGATTCTGTATTCAGGGATCACTTCTAGTGGGGTTCAGGGAACCATACGGGGGTGCTGGGGATCGAACCCGGGTCAGCTTTGAGCAAGGCAAATACCTTCCCTGCTGTACTATCACTCCAGCCCCATGTAGTTATTTTTTAAATGGTCAATGATATTTCTGTTCTACAACTTGATTTTTACCCCCTTGAAACTTGTTCCTTTTCTTTTTGACCTGTAATATATGCTGACCAACTTTAACGGTCAGAGCACATAGCTCCACTTTTTCCTCTTTGACAGTCATATAACATTTTGAAAGGAATCTAGATGGGGGAAACACTGAACACTACAAAATATTCAACACAGAAAAATGAGAATGAAAATGAGGAGCCTATAATATTAAAATCAAGCCTTTCTTTCTGTGTGATAATACTCAAAAAAGGATAGAGATTTCTGCTTTTAGGCGTCAGCTCAAGAAAACTTGTAACTACCACATTACTCAGCTCTGCTGGTGAGCATGCTATGATTCCTGTGCCTGAGATCTCCAACTCTAGTTCTGAACTTGGCCATATACCAGGAATTAGAAAAAGAGATAAACATAAAGGTAAACATATTAGGATGTGTGAACAGAAAAATTTCCTTCCTAAAATGATACTTTTATATACTTTTATAATGATACTGAAATACTTAATTAAAAAAATATGACTTTGTAAAACGCATCATGCTCCCATCTTGTACTGTACTGATACATCAAAGAAAAATCAGAGATCATAAAGAACTCTGAGAGTTACTGAATGTCACTGTTCCATTTAAGTCGGGAGGACCTAGTAGTTCTTTGTGCCTTTCAAAGATGAATGAACTACAGTGCGGCACTGTTCACAATAGCCAGAATCTAGAAACAACCAGGGTGCCAATGAACAGATGACTGGTTAAAAAAAACTTTGGCACATCTACACCATGGAATACTATGCAGACATGAGAAAAGATGTAGCACTATAGCACTATCCTCCCGTTGTTCATTGATTTACTTGAGCAGGCACCAGTAACGTCTCCATTGTGAGACTTATTACTGCTTTTGGCATATCAAATACACCACAGGGAGCCTGCCGTGTGGGCGGGATACTCTCGGTAGCTTGCTGGGCTCTCTGAGAGGGATGGAGGAATCAAACCCGGGTTGGCCATGTGCAAGGCAAACACCCTACCTGCTGTGCTATTGCTCCAGCCTGAGAAGTTATGAAATTTGCTTATAAATGGTTGGTCATGGAGAGTATCATGCTAAGTGAAATGAGCCAGAGAGGGACAGGTATAGCCTATAATATTAAAATCATTTGTGGAATAGGTATAGCCTATAGGCTATACAGGTATAGCCTATAATATTGAACCCATTTGTGGAATATAAAATAACGTAATACGAGACTGAGACACAAGGACAGTAGACACAAGAGCCAGGAATATTGCTCCATAGTTGGAAGCCTGCCTCATGAGCTGGGGGAGAAGGCAGCTGGAATAGAGAAGGGATCACTAAGTCACTGATGGTTGGAGGGATTGTTCAAGATGGGAGATGTATGCTGAAAGTAGATAAAGGACCAAATGTGATAGCCTCTCAGTATCTATATTGCAAAACATAATGCCCAAAATTAGAGAGTATGGGGGAAACTATCTGCCATAGAGGCAGGGGGAGAGCTGGGATGGGGGTGGGGGGATACTTGGGGACATTGGTGGTAGAATATGTGAACTGGCGGAGGGATGGGTGTTCGATCATTGTATGACTGAAACTCAAACATGAAAGCTTTGTAAATGTATCTCATAGTGATTCAATAAAAAAATAAAATAAAATAAAAAAACAAAAAATAACTAATTAAATCTCAATATTAAACAATCCATGAGTTTTGTATCTTAAAAATCTAAAAGGTGTGTGAGAAATATAGCAATGTAAATACTTTATAGCTTAGACAAATTTTTTTTAAATGAGTTGTTTTGGTTTACTAAATGAGGACAAATATTTAGCAAGCACAATGACAAGAAGCATAATTACCATTTGCTCATATTTAATGGCATCTTTCTCAGCAATCTGAGCTGCCCTTTCTTTATTCATGTAGGCTGCTCTCAATTTCTTCTCTAGTTCTCGGAGCTCAAAACTGTTTAAAAGAAATACAGGAATTAAACTTTATTATGTTTTTTCTGATTTTAAAAATAAACAACATCTGAAATTTGAAACTTTTTTGTCTGAATGTGTGCCATATATTTATATTATTATTTAAATATTTTGAAAATATACTTTCTTTCCTTCATCCAAATAAAACTCAGAGAGTTTGTGAAATGAAACATAGTAATAAACTTTCTTATTGAAAGAATCCTTTTATTTTCAGTAATCCTGGATCTATCTAACCATTCTACAAAGAAGTAATCATCCATGTCAAGAGAGGGGTTCGGCAGGGTGATACCATTTCACCAAAACTCTTCAGTGCCACCCTCGAGAACATCATGCGACGACTGGAATGGGAAGGAATGGGAGTGAAGATAGATGGTTGGCAACTACACCACCTCCGCTTTGCTGATGACATCGTTCTAATAACACCAAACATCAGCCAAGCGGCACAAATGCTGACCAACTTCGACCGTGAGTATGGAAATGTCGGACTACAGCTGAATCTTACGAAGACAATGTTTATGAGAAACAGCCTCGTTCCTGACGCTCCATTCGCTCTCAACGGAACCACCATCTCTGAATGCAACAGTTATATATACCTAGGTCGAGAAGTCAACATGATGAATGACCTGGCACCTGAGTTGCGCAGGAGGAAGAGAGCGGCTTGAAATGCCTTCAAGAGCATTGAAGAAATAACTAAAAGGACAAAGAACCTCCAGCAACGAGCACATCTCTTCGATTCCATTGTTCTTCCTGAATTAACATATGCCTCAGAGACCTGGGCCCTACGTAAACAGGATGAGAATGCTATTCGGGTCTCTCAAAGAGGAATCGAAAGAGCTATGCTTGGAATATCACGATTCACTCAAATGAGAGATAGAATCCGGAGTTCTGATCTCCATCAACGCTCAAGAATCAGGGACGCTGTCTCATTTGCCAAGGCATCAAAAATCAGATGGGCTGGACACGTAATGAGGTTTACAGACAACCGCTGGACTAGAGCCATTACTAATTGGATTCCACGGGATGTCAAAAGATTGCGTGGACGCCCACCTACAAGATGGTCAGACTTCTTCGTCAAGATCCTGAATGATCGGTTTGAGGCTCTGCATGTTCCTAGAATGAACAGATGCCATTGCGCTACGCTAGCATGCAACAGGGATGATTGGAGACGTTACTGTCACCCGCTCGAGTAAATTGATGAATAACGGGGATCAAGTGATCAAGTGAATCCTGGATCTCAGAAGGTGTTTGACGTGTTTTTATCAATAGTTGTTAAAATTTATCTCTGAATACTAATACTGTTGAGCTAAAAGAAGAATTATGGTTAATGAATTTAAACTTAAGCTTAAGTCTGGTTTAGTCAAACTTTCAGGTCAGCTATGTGGATTAATACCAGTTTCAGGCCTGCTAATGTGAAGTCTTCTCCAGCCTCCTTTGAGTTTCAACATTTCTTATTATTACATTTTCTCCTTTATACTGTACAAGCTCTCCTTGTTTTTGTACATGCTTTTCCAAATTGTTATTGCAGAGATGATAGCATGCTCGTATCACACACAGAACTATTTTTTATACTAGAAAATGAAAGATTCCTGACATCATTTTAACTCCATGTATTTCTATTTCTTTACTCAATTTGTTTTAGTCTGTTTTGTTCTTCACTTTTGTATTTTTGAGTCTCAAGAGACATCCTAATAAATGATTTCCTCAGTCAAAGCTCTAGAATTACAACACACTTACCTCTCCCAGGTTCTAAAAATAACTGCTGGATCATTTTCCTTCTTTCCTGCATTTTCCTTTAATGTAGAGTTCTGAGTGATCGTTTCTGGCTTTGCATGTCTGAAAACGTCACTTTCTACTCTGTTTCATCTATAGTCATACTTCTTATACTTGGCCTTTTATTGGCTTTATTGGCATGGATGATTCTGTGAGGTTTATTTTCTCTTTTCTGGATTCCAAAGAGAACTAGGAGTGAGTTAGGTGGCAGTTTTCATTATTTATCATGTTCTAAGTGTGTCTCTATATCTTCTATCATGTTTGGATTTCTTGGCTAGTATCTCACAAAATATTGCTGCTCCTACATCATTTGCTTTTATTTATACTGTCACACTGTAGTACTGTCCTCCCGTTGTTCATCGATATGCTCAAGCAGGTACCAGTAATGTCTCCATTGTGAGATTTGTTGTTACTGTTTTTGGCATAGCAAATACACCACGAAGAGCTTGCCAGGCTCTGCCGTGCTGGCAGGATACTCTTGGTAGCTTTCCCAGCTCTCTGAGAAGGATGGAGGAATTGAACCTGGGTTGGCTGCATGCAAAGCAAATGCCCTACCCGCTGTGCTATCGCTCCAGCCCATATTTATACTACAAGGTCTAAAACTGAACTGTTGGCACTTCCCATCATAGCCCATAACTCCTAAAATTATCTTCTGTATTTTTCTATTCTTTTCATCTCCATGATTTATTTTGGATATTTTCTTTTTCTCTTTTTAAGTTCTTCTGTTTATTATTATTATTGTGTTGGGTGAGATACTCTCAGAAGCTTGCTGGGCTCTTCAAGAGGGGTAGAGGAATTGAACCCGGCTTGGCCGGGCTGGCTGAATGCAAGGCAAACACCCTACCGCTGTGCTATCGCTCCAGCCCATAGCACAGCGGTAGGGCGTTTGCCTTGCACGCAGCCAACATGGCCGACCCGAGTTTGATTCCTCCGCCCCTCTCAGAGAACCTGGCAAGCTACCGAGAGTATCTCGCCCGCGTGGCAGAGCCTGGCAAGCTACCCGTGATGTATTCAATATGCCAAACGCAGTAACAACAAAGTCTCCAATGGAGACATTACTGGGCCCGCTCGAGCAAATCGATGAACAATGGGAGGACAGATGGTGTTGGGTATTGAACGAGAGATTCACACACACAAGGGAAGTGCTCTACTTGCTGAGACACATCCTCAGCTTTTCTGGCTATTTCGAACCACCTCGTCCAGATGAGCTTTTCATGTGTTTCTATCTAATAAAATCTAAATTCTCTGTTACTAATATAAAACACACTGTAGTGCACAAGACTTAAGGGATGATGCTGAGCACCTTGCCATGTGCTTACTGGACAAACTGTTTCACTGGATTCTGGGTGGGACAAGGATATTACCAGTGGTGCTTGGTGGGGTTAGAGGTTGAGGGAGCAAAGGACCATGTTCAGGGCTACTCGAGGGCACAACAGTGGTGCTGGGAACCAAACCTAGGGTCTGTCTTATGCAAGGTGTATGGCTCTACCACTCAAGTGTATCTTCTGCCTCTGCTTAACTCTTCGCCATGCTCATGTGAGCAGCAGAGAGCTCAAGTGAACTGCAGCTACACAGAACAAGCTTGTGACCTGGACACAGCCTTGGGGAAGCACGCCAGGCAGAAGAGGCTCCACATTCAATCCCTGACCCTCCGGGCACTACTCAGTGGCCATGGTGGCCCCAAGCACCAACAGCTATGACTCAAAAGCCACTTAGCACTGTTTGGGTGTCCCGGCCAGGTCGGAGCATTGCCACATCCCTGACCTGAGAAGGTCATTCCACACCACCAGAAAACTCCAAAAATAAAAGATAGGCAGTAAGCAAGTTGACAGAGATCTTAAGCTAACATTCAAAGTAAAAAAATCTAAAAAAGCAAAACTAACAAGTGGGACGACATCAATATGAAAAGCCTCTTTTCAGCAATGGACAGAGTGAAAAAACAACCCGCTGAATGAGAGCAAATTACATATTTGATACAAAAAATAATGTCCAAAGTGTTTTTTTAAAAAAAAAAAAACCAAAACAATCAAACAGCTCAATAGCCAGATAGCAATCGGATTTTAAAACTAAGCAGAAGATTGCAATAGATATTTTCCCAAAGAAGTTAGGCAGACAGGGTCAAGGAAACACAGGGTCAAGGAAAGATGCTCAATGTCATTATCACATGGAAATGCAAGTCAAAACCACAATCAGACACCATTCTATACCTGCTAGAATGACATCTTCAGGAGGACAAGATTCAATAAGTTTTGGCTAGGATGTGAGAAGGAATGAATACCTGTCTATGCCTACCAGCAGGAAAGTAAGCTGGTGTTGCCACTGTGAAAAACAGTTTGGAATTTCCTTAAAAATTAAACATAAAACTACATAATGATCTTGTAACACTCTGGGCATTTAGACAAAGAAAACTAAGCCACCAACTCAAGAAATATCTATGCATCCATGTGTTCATTGTACATTTTTTTAAGTAGGCAAGATGAGTTATTCAGTGGATGAATGAATAAAATGAGGTCTATATCTAAGACAAAATAATACTATTAAGACATGAAGAAGGATAATATCTTACCATTTGCGACAGGATGGATCAACCATAAAGGTATATGCCAGGTAAAATGAGTCAGAAAAAGAAAAATACTATATGATCTCACTTAAATGTGGAATCTTTAAAAAAAAACTGAATAACAACAACAAGAAAAAGTCTCCTGGGTACACTGATACGCGCCAGCAACAGGGTTAGTGGTGGGGCAGCAGGGAATGAGTGTAGGGAACTCAAAAAGTAAGAGGAAAATACAGATTTCCATTCTCACTGAATTATACTGGGCTCATGCATCATTCTAATATAAATTTTCGTCCTTGATATGGCCTTCAATAACAAAAGAGAAAATAAAAGAAGTATTACAACAGAGATTCCTCAAAAAGACATTGGGCCTACAAGAAAATCATAGCTGGCCAGCCACTTTCCAGGGAGAGTGTTGTAAGTCTACTTCAGGAGCAAAAGCTAAATCTTACCTAAGGTTTCTCTGCTGAGGTTCATGCCTCTATTTTTTAAGATGTCACTGTCACTGTCCTCCCGTTGTTCATCGATTTGCTCGAGCGGGCCCAGTAACATTGTGACAATTGTTACTGTTTTTGGCATATCAAATACGTCATGGGTAGCTTGCCAGGCTTTGCCCTGGGGGCAGATACTCTCCATAGCTTGCCAGGCTCTCCGAGAGGGGTGGAGGAATCGAATTCGGGTCGGCTCTGTTGGCCGCATGCAATGTACAGCGGGTAGGGCATTTGCCTCGCACATGGCCGACCCAGGTTCGATTCCTAACTTTCCATATGGTCCCTTGAGCACTGCCAGGAGTAATTCCTGAGTGTAAAGCCAGGAGTAACCCTGTGCATTGCCAGGTGTGACCCAAAAGCAAAAAAAAAAAAAAAAAAAAAGAAAGAAAGAAAGAAAGAAACTGGTACTACAAAAATAAAAAGTGCAAAGATATAAAAAAGAAATTTTAGTCTCAGGGGCTAAATATTACATAAAAGTTTAAAGATAACAACCAAATGACATTTATTGGATCAAGATACCTGTGTTCTCTAACTTGCTGTCTCATTTTTTCATCCTTTGTACTTTCGAGTTTTAGTCTTGCTAACTCCGTAGCCAGTTTTTCTTCTTGTTCAAGTTGAAGTTCCTTCAATCTTTTATTTTCTTCTGCCTGGGTTTAAAAGGACAACAGCTCTTTTGATTTGTCTTCCAGGTTCGGATTTGTGAGGAGTGGGTACAACCTCCACACTCAGGCCCTGTGGTGCTGCGCTTACCTGAGCACCTGGCAGTGCTCAGGGCTTAAAGACAACAACCCAGAAACGCTCATAAGATCACGCAGCGCCAGAGATTGAACCACGGCTGACCATATGCAAGGCACGTGCTTTTACTCCAGTCCCCGGGATCATATTTTATTTTTCCTCGAGAAAAACACTGAATTTTGCTTTGTGAGAGAAAACAGAAAGTGCCTTCGGAGCAAAAATTAACTGTTTCATCTTAAAATACAAAACATTATTTTAGCCGGCACAGGTAGGTAGGTAAGTAGAAAGGACAGAAGAATCAATCTGATCATGGGAAAGAAACTAGAACTTTCGTGGGGGGGAGTCTTACATACATGTCAAGCCACATTTCCAAAGCTGACGTCACCTTGTAAACTAATGGTAAATCAATAAAGTTTTATTAACAATAAAGTAAAATATCCCCGCAGGCCACTATCACTCATCTTTTACTACCAACCTTTTCCCTCTACTCTCCCTTTTTCCTTTGTACTTCTTTGGCTAGAGCATTTTAGAGCAGACCCGAGAGTAGTCATAACCACTCAATATTGATATTAAGTATTGAAAACTACTTGATAAGAATTTACTCAATTCATGTATGCTTTATATACATCCTGTGTATGTAATGAGACCTCACAAATTTTGGCACCAAAAACAAAACTAAACAAGTTTCTATCTTAAAATAAAAAGGGAATTGGTTTTTTAGATAACAAACAGCTCACCAGCATGTATTGATAAACAGTGATTTCATAATAAGTTCTGATACCCAGCCAACCCATGTTCGATTCTTCCACCCCTCCCGGAGAGCATGGCAAGCTACCGAGAGTATCTTGCCCACACACAAATCCTGGCAAGCTACCCGTGACATATTTGATATGCCAAACACAGTAACAAGTATCAAATGGAGACGTTACTCGGCCTGCTGAGCAAATGGATGAACATGAGGACAGTGACAGTGACAGTGACCTTGTCAATCTCCAAAATGCTTTATTGGGGGTTATGGTGCAGCCAGCAGTTCAATCTGTACCTGTGAGGCGAGTGCATCAGCAGCCTGATGGTGGCTTCAGACTTCCAGATACCCCAAAATTGCTGCTGTGCCTTTGGCCAGACCCCAAAAACTTGGGGCAACGTTTACCAAGAAAGTAAACAGCCAAAAGTTAGGTATGTGGAAGACACAACCACAAACCACCTTCGGCTCAGCTATATAATTGGAGGCATGGCCTCTCTGGTTCCTGATCGAACTGCTTAATGGCCATGATCCCAGAGATTCAGAAACAAATCTCGAAACCCAACGGCTTTTGGCAGAAATGCGTCCAGACCGTACAGTAGGTTACTGTCACCAGGCCACCCCAGGGGGGAAAGGATGCTGTTCCTCCACCTGCTCCCCCTTGGTGGATCAGTGCCTGCCATCCACCAGAGGCCATTGGACAGTCAGGTTTGTGCCCGCAGTGACGAGACACGCAGGGCCACACAGGATGGGTGTGCAGTAGGCCTTTTCTCTCCCACCCCAACGAGACCTCGAGTCGCTGCCAACGAACAGCCTCTTTGGCTTCTGATCAAGTCGTTTAATGGCCATGATCCCAGAGACTCAGAAACAAATCACAGAACCCAGTGGCTTTTGGAAGAAATGTATCCAGACCCTGCAGTAGGTTACTGGCGCTGGGCCACCCCAGGTGGGAATAGGTTTCATGCCTTGGCTATTCCCCCTGGCAGCCCGGTGGCCGCTATCCTCCAGAGGCCGCTGGACAGTCAGGTTTGGGCCTGCAGTGACGAGACATGCGGGGCCTCATGGGATAGGGGTGGATCCGGCCCCTTCCTCCCCGTCCCAACAAGATTCCGAGTCGTCACCCACAAACGGCCTCTCTGGCTCCTGATCAAGCTGCTTAACGGCCATGACTCAGAAACAAATCTTGAAACCCAGTAGCTTTTGGCAGAAATGCGTTAGGACCCCTCAGTAGGTTACTGTCGCTGGGCCATTCCAGAGGGAAAAGGGTGCTATCCCTCCGCCTGCTCCCTGTAGGCAGCTCGGTAGCTGCCTTCCTCCAGAGGCCATTGACAGTCAGGCTTGGGCCGTCAGTGATGAGACATGCGGGGCCTCACGGATTGGGGGTGGAGCTGGTCCTTTCCTCCCCATCCCAATGAGACCCTGAGTCGCCACCCACAAATGGCCTTTCTGGCTTCTGATCAAGCTGTTTAACGGCCATGATCCAAAAGACTCAGGAACAAATCTCAGAACCCAGCAGGTTTTGGTAGAAATCCCTCCAGATATAAGTGTTAAAATTTTGGAATTTTAAAATCACGCAGCCCCTGCTGCAGTCATGCAACATCATATGTTATTCATAACCAGCAATAGAAAACAAATTGTCTACTGTTGCCTTTTCAGCAGATCTGAGTGTTGGGGTAAAATCCCAAATAATACTGGTGGGTCTGGTATCAAAATATTGAATGTGATCAAAGTAGAGAGAGAGTAATGTAGAAATCATCTGCCCCACAGGTAGGGGGAGGGTGTGAGATGGGGACATACTGGAGTTTTGGGGGATGGAGAATGGGCATTGGTGAAGGTACGGGTATTTCATTGTATGAGTGAGACTTAAACCCGAAAGCTTTGTAACTGCTCTGACAGATTCAATAAATAAAATTATAAAAAATGAAAAATAAAAAAACAAAATGCTTTATCAACTTTTTTTTTTGTTTAAACTAAAATCCAAACAAGGTCTGTTTATGGCATTGTTATTTACTTTTCACTGTCATCCTACTGTTCATTGAGTTACTCGAGCGGGCGCCAGTAAACATCTCCATTTGTCCCAGCCCTGAGATTTCAGCAGCCTCTCCTTACTTGTCTTTCCCACTGTTATTATTATTTCTTTTAATTCTCTTTTATACACCACCCCATGGGCTGGAGCGATAGCACAGTGGTAGGGCATTTGCCTTGCATGCGGCTGACCCGGCTGACCCAGGTTCAATTCCTCTGCCCCTCTTGGAGAGCCTGGCAAGCTACCGAGAGTATCTCACCTGCACGGCAAAGCCTGGCAAGCTCCCATGACATATTTGATATGCCAAAACACAGTAACAACAAGTCTCACAATGGAGACGTTACTGGGCCCGCAGGAGCAAATCATCAAACAATGTCAAACTGTAGACAGTGCTACAGTGCTACACCATCCCACACCATTGATTTGCTGTAGGAAAGAGGATATATGACCTGCAATCTCACTGATAGCTTCTGTGGAATGTTATTTAACTTATTTTGCTTTTGTATGTGGAGGTAGTGGAGGTCTGCCGGTGAGGTATTTATCTGGTACCAGTAGGGTGGGTCTTCTAATATAAATGTGTAGAAAGATTTAGAGGTTTATTAAACTAACTACTTAGAAAAAAATCTGCCTACAAAATGATGATCACCATCACTAGCCATCATAAAATGCAAGTTAAAACTAAAATGTTATCACTATGAATCTATTGTAATGGTTAAAATTAAAAGCAACAGAATCAAATGCTGGTTAGAAACTATACCACTGCACATTAATGGGCAGAAATACGGAATGACACAGCCATTTTGGAAAATATTCTATTAATTTGTTATAAGGCCAGCATACAATTACTATGCAGCTCAGCAACTGTGCTCTTAAACATTTAATAAAAATGCCTGAGAAATTAAAACAAGTATTATTAAAACACCCACCAAAGGTCATATTTATTTAAAATAGTTAATATTGCAAAATGGCAGACATTCTTCAACAGGTCAAATAAACTGATCAAATAAACAGATCAAATAAACTGTAGAACATCCACTCATAGGAAAATAACACGGAAAAAAAAAAGAATAAATTAACCACACAAACAACACCTGAATTAATATGTAGGAATTAAACCAAATAAAAATATCCAAAGTGTTGCACATTAGTTGATTTCATTTATAAGTATATATTTTTGAATATCACATATTTGGAAAGTTTACTTTGTTAATTATAAAAAAGTTGATAATTTTTTTCTTTTAAAATATTGTGTTTACTTTTTCAAAAAGTTCCTAACAAGAAATATTTTACAAGCTTAAAATGTACGTTTCACAATTCACAGGAATATTTTTTGGTATATTCACAAAGTTGTACAACTACTATCTAGATCCAGAACTTTCCCAGATAGACTATTTGGGAGCTGTTTTAAGTTCACAATAAACAGAGAAAGATCACAGGGTTCTCATCATCCACTCATCCACTCTGTACCACTTCTTACTATCAACACCCCACACCAGAGAGGTCACTTGCTGTCTAGCAGCACTACCTTACCTTGACACATCATTCTCACCCAAAGTCCATAGGCACATTAGGGTGCATGCTTGGTGCTGTACATTTTATGCATTTTGATGAACATAAAATGGGAAGTATCAATCCTTAAAACATCATGCAGAATAATTAGATTGCCCTAAAAAATCCTTTTTTTCTCTCTCTACTGTCTTATCCCTCACACTCTAAGTCCTTGGTAATCACCAATTCTTTCAATATCTCCTTTGTTTGACCTTTTCAAGCATAGAGTTGAAATTATACAGTGACTGACCTTTCAGGTTAGTAATACAAATGTAAGTTTCCTTTCCAGGTCTTTTCCAAGCCAATGACCAACCAACAAAATTCTGCTAAAGATAAAAATCAAAGAAGAGATAGCACAGCATGTAAGGCCTTGCATGTGATGGATTTGGGTTTGATCACCAGCATCCCATATGGTCTCCCATTTCCTGCTAGGAGTAATTCCTGGGTACAGAGCCATGTATAAGCCCCTGAAAACTTCTGGGTGTGGTCCCCAAACAAAAAATAAAAACAAACAAAAGGTAAAGCACTTTTCCTAGGACTCTGCATATAATTAATTCATTACTTGGTAAACAATCTATTATGAAGTAGGCATTATTTTATTCCCACTCTGTAGATGAGGCATCAAAAAGTGAAAGAAACTTACTCAAGTCTTCACAGCTAACATACTGTGTCTCTGGGATTCAAAGACATACAGGACAGTTCCAAAACCCAGGTCTCTTCAGCTGGCTGAGGCTTCATCTGCTGATGCTGTCTGTTCTCTGCTCAATTATCAGTCAATCCTTTCGTCATTTTCAAGAGAAATGACAGGAGAAAAACAGGGGAAGAAGGAACAGTAAAACTTACCTTTTGAATAGCTTCTTCCATATCCAGTTCAAACTGTTCATTCTGTAATAACCTGAGGAATCTCTTTTGTTCAAGACACTCCTCATTTTGATTCTTTACTCGTTGTATATTGACTTGATTCTCTATCCTTTTCAGTCCCTCGATTTCCAGCTGTCTCTTGTAGTTTCTCTCTACCAATTTCTCATACCTTTCACTGTAGTTCAGAGTTCTCCAGTTGGAAGCCTGTGCATGCAGGAGGTAGAAAGGGATCTGCATATTTTGGTATCCCAAAATCGAATTTGTCAAATATCTTCTGTAAGCCTCAATTACAAAGGACACAGAAAGGGGTCACCGTAAAGAAGGGTCCCTCACTTTCGAAGGTAAGAGAAAAAAAAAACATCACAACGTAAAATACATGTGCTGGATTTATTCGTGAAGGAGGTGCTATTATCATCAGCTGATGATAAAGATGATGCACGAAGAAGAAAAACAACTTCAGCGGGATTCAAACGCGTGCAGTAGTGCTGGCTTCACGTGTACAGGAATGCACGCGGAGGAGGGGCAGACACAAGCTCTACCAGCAGGCAGTGTTCCCCGCCCCTCGTTCCATCCCGTCCCTCCCCCTTTAGCTCACAAAACAAAACGAAACAAAAAAACCCCAAAACACCCCAAAAACGTTCCGAAGCTGAACGCGGGGCTTTTCCAGCAGAGGTTTAAGAGCGTAACGCTCGCTCCCTCTGTACTTTCATCCCCACTCATTCAGAAACACAGGAAACAAGAATTTTAACCGGTCCTATCCGATATTCTAACATCGCCTAAGTAAAGGGGACCTGACAGTCTCTGCAAACCAGCACGCGTCAATCCCCCCCTTAATTTTCAGATGAGCGGCCTGAAGGCCAGAGAGCCCGGGTGGGATCTAACCGACTAACGAAAGCAGTTGATGAATAAATCAATGACTTCGGACCCACTCTCCAAACGGCTCACCATTCTGGCCGACCAAGTCGCCAGTCTCCAGCTCCTGCAACCGCCTTCTCCCGCCGAAAACGCCGCGACTCCGCTCGGCTCCCGGGTGTTTACGCGGTTTCCTAGCAACGGTTGCCAAGGCACCGCCGTGCGCAGGCGCGACCGCCCCCCTGCGCAGAGCAAGGTCCAATCGACGCCCAGCTTCTTGGGAGATTGACAGGGCTGTTATTCCCATAGGGCTAAAGGAGACCGGCGGGAAGTTCGAATTGTTTTCCTGCCCTCAGCCCTTTGCCTGCTTGGCAGAGAAAGCTCAGGATTCTTCTCTACGTTTTTTTTCTCTATTGCGTGGTTTGAGTTGGGGCTACGAGGCAAGAGGAAGGCTGAGGGGACTGGTTAGAGAGGAATAGGCAAGCTCTGGTCCAGTGCATATGGTCAAGGTCACTTTCTGCGCACAGCGCTTTCCTGAGTGCTCAACACCTCTTGCCAGGGTTGAGCTCCACTTCATTCTTTGGAGTAGAAAGCACAAGAACACTCCAGTCCAACGCAGTACTCTAAACGGTCCCCTGAGGGATGATCAGTGAGTGTAGAGTCCAGAGTAAGCCCTAAGCAGAGTGTGGCCCCCAAACCAAAAATAAACAAAATGTGTGGACTGCATGGGTCTTACTCTGCTAAATAAAATATGATTTGGGTACCTGTGAGGGAGAACAACTGATGTGGGGGAGGGGCGAGGGGAACGGGGGGGAGGGTAGGGGAGAGGGAAGAGTTGTTCTTTTTATTTTTTTATTTTTTATTTATTTATTTTTTATTAGTGAGACATCATGAGGTACAGTTGTAGACTTACAAATTTTTGTGCTTGGGTTTCAATTATACAATGATCAAATACCCATCCCTCTACCAGTTCCCATTTCCCACCACCACGGATCCCAGTATCCCTCCCACCCCCCCCATCCCCCCCATCCCACCCTGCCTCTGTGGGAAAGGATATTCGCCAAATAAACATCCGACAAGGGGTTGATATCAAGGATATACAAAGTACTGGTTGAACTCCACAAAAAGAAAACATCCAACCCCATCAAAAAATGGGGAGATGAAATGAATAGAAACTTTCACAAAGAAGAAATCCGAATGGCTAAAAGGCACATGTTCTTTTTATTTTTATTGACCAGTTAGACACCAAAGTCTTTATAAGTAGAACTGAATAATAAGGATGAACCTGAGAAGTCAGACACACAGGTTTATGTTAGGGTTGACATTTCAAGAAGCTTCATCATAACATTTTTTTAAGGCATTTGATATGAGAAGTTGATTGGGCTTGTGGGATCTAATTTTAGTCTCTTTTGTGTACCAGCCTGAATGCTCAAATATGTTTAGTTCAAAAGGTAAAGGCCCTCCCGTTGATCATCGATTTGCTCAAGCAGGCCAGTAACGTCTCCATTGGAGACTTTGTTGTTACTGTGTCTGGCATATCGAATACGTCACGGGGAGCTTGCCAGGCTCTGCTGTGCGGGCGAGATACTCTCGGTAGCTTGCTGGGCTCTCCGAGAGGGGCGGAGGGGCGGAGGAATCGAACTCGGGTCGGCCATGTTGGCTGCGTGCAAGGCAAACGCCCTACCCGCTGTGATCCTTCAAACACTGTCACCAGGAGGAAAAAAAAAAGCAGAAATAAAATTCAAATTAATGACATTTCTTGATACTACACTTGATTGCAGTGCCTGGCTGTCCTCGCTGGGGCCCCTTGGAGGGTCCTTGGGTTGAGTTTCCCTCCCTGCCCCGAGCAGAGCTCCGGCAGCCGAAGACCTCCAGAACCAGACACAACCATGCTGAGACCACTCTCCACACGCATGAAGGTACCGGCAATGGAACAAAGGCATGCGGGTCCCAGGGCTGAGATCTCCAAGCCTGCTTGGATCGGAGTCTGAGCATCCTCCACCCAGATCCTCCATCCTCCAGTAGGCAGGGGTCACACCCACTAACAGGCCCCCTGGCACCTTGTAATCCCATCAACGGCCAAGACCCAGAGACTATAAAACCCAGCTCCCAGAAGTGCGTGGCCGCGACATCTTATTATCTCATTCTTACTTTGGACAACCTGGCAGGCTATCGAATGTAACCTGCCCACACGGCAGAGTCTGGCAAACTCCCTGTGGCGTACCCATAATGCCAAATACCAGTAACAATGATGGGTCTCATTCTCCTAACCCTGAAAGAGCCTTGAATATGACACTTTTTAAAATCTCTGGGCTAGGATGAAGGAGACATTAATGGAGCCTGCTTGAGGCAATCGACCAACAACAGGATGATCGTGAACACTTGATCTTAGCCAAAAGGCCGAGAAGCCCACTTTTGGGCTGGAGCTATAGCACAGCGGGTAGGGCGTTTGCCAGGCCAACCCAGGTTCAATTCCTCCGTCCCTCTCAGAGAGCCCCAAAGCTATAGAGAGTATCTCACCCGCACGGCAAAGTCTGGCAAGCTACCCATGACGTATTTGATATGCCAAACACAGTAACAATAAGTCTCACAATGGAGACGTTACTGGTTACCGCTTGAGCAAATCTATGAACAACTGGAGGACAGTGACAGTGTCAGTGACATTTCTTAGCTTTACCATAGAATTGAGACCAAACCCATCCACATATCCCAACCCCCTGCAGATATCTAAAATAAATAAATTCAAGACTTACTCACTTGGAGCACGGGCCACTGAAGCTATAAATTAGGAAGACTTAAATGACCATTTTGTTGTATATTTGAGAGACTGAATGAGGACTTGAGCAATACTATCAGGATGTGTAATTGTTGAATATCAACCCGACGTGTTTTAGGCTTCATTAGTGAATTTCCCCTTTTCCTCCTCCCAGAGAAGCTTATCATGCCCTTGCTAGCATCCCTAATTTAGTTAAAGTTTATCACCGACCTTTCCTTTGTATTTTACCTCTCATTGTCACAGTTCTCCAAGTCAGTCTTGATTACTTATAAGCCAAAACTTTCTGGTAATTCTGAACTTTGGACTTGTACTGATTTGTATTTAAAGTGCTGTGTATTTGAACCTGAGTTTCTATTTCCCCTATAGCCGTTTTATATTTTACTATAGAGCAGTGTTCTTTGGTTAAACACAGATACACCTGTGCTCCTAATATTTGGGAGTTGATTGACTCTGAAATATATCTACCCCTGGGCGTTGGTCATAATTACTTGACTAAGGCTTCAGTTGCACCCCAAAAGGGAGGTCCCGTCTTTGGACAGGGATGGATCTGGGGTGAGTAGCAAAGCTACTCCGGCATTGAAATGGGACAGTTTAGAAAGCATCAATGCATGGTTTGATGCAAGCTGTTATGACTTAAGAGACAGGATCTCCATGGGAAGGACACACTGAACTGGCCTGAGTAGACTTAGTCTGGGATTTACAGTGAAAGTCTTGCCCAGAGAACTAAGTGTTGGGATCGTTGTCTCTTACTGTGTTTATCCAAACAACCGAAAGTATTGATAACATATACAACTAGAGAGAAGGATAAAAAGCAATATAGATGTTCCTGAGAGACAGAGTGTCTCCTTGTGTTAATCTCCCCAAAAGAGAATTTTCTATGTTTTATCTTTGTAAATGATTTATGTAAATTTCCAGATGTCTCACCTATGTAAATGATCAATCACACCTATGTCCTTACCACAACCCCCCTCAGATGTTCTATAAGTATGCTAGCAGCTCTGCATTAAATGAGCCACTTTCACCATCAGGCCGTGGTCCCCCATTGCACACTCTCCCACAATTTATTTTCCGAACTCACATATAATTTCAAGGAAATTCCTGCCCTTCCATGAGTTTTGTCTCCAGGATTCTAAGCAAGTTCCCACTGTGAAAAATCAGTGGTACCTGCAGGGAAGAAAAGAAAAGAAAATATGAGAAATCACTGAAATCTATCTAGAGATCTTCTTATAATAAAGGAATATTTTCTTGAGGAAAACCTGCTGTCAGTGCCTCATGCCACAGAAGGCAAGGTGATTCTCAGACTGTAGTTTTCTCAGATTTCCTGTTTCACTTAAGTGGAGCAAGTATAATTGAAAATAAAACTTCTGAAGGCCAAAACCCAGGAGCACAACCCTACTTAAATATTTCATCATAAAGTCATAAAACATCTCCTCTCCCACACTTTGCTTCCTCATGAAATGTTTCAGTTTAGTAGCTGACTAAAGCTTGGTTGTTGAAAGCCATAAGGCTCTTGCTGACCAGAGAGATAGTACTGTGGGTAAGGCACTTGCCTTGCATTCAGTCAAACCTAGTTTGATCCCCCATATCATATATAGCTCCCCTGAGCATC